GCCTACCGAACTCGGCATTATTCCGTGTGCTGTCGACGGTATCTTTGACGCCATCACTGCCGACTGTGAACGAGCGTTCCTGTTGCGTGTCTCCTACATTGAGATTTACAACGAAACGCTCCGTGACCTGCTCAACTTTAAGAAGGGACCCTTGTCAGATGATGAAAAGCCGGCCATTCACACTCGAAAGGTGAGCTTTATACATAAGGTATTGCCCAGCTAACACGTCTAGGGCAAAGTCTTTGTTGAGCCACTCGTCGAGGAGATTGTGTCAACCCCACAGGATGTGGTGACACTTCTGGCCCGCGGCAACACCAACCGCAAGACGGGTGCAACCGACTGGAACGAGCGCTCATCTCGCTCGCACGCCGTGTTCCAGATTGTCATCGAGTCGCGCCCGCGTGACAGCGTTGGCGATGACGAGATTCGCGTCTCCCGCCTCACCCTCATTGATCTGGCTGGTTCAGAAAAGGCCGTTTCCGACGTCGAGCGTCGTGGCGAGGGCAAGCATATCAACCAGAGGTGAGCGACACACACTCAGTATTGTAGCTGACCCCTCTCCAGTCTCCTGGCCCTCCGCGAGGTCATCAACAAGCTCACCGAAAAGGGAAAGAAGACGCACATTCCTTACCGCAACTCAAAGCTCACGCACCTCCTGGAGAATGTTCTCGGTGGCGACTCTAACATTTGTGTCATCTGCACAATGTCAGCGGAGGAAGTGCACTCTCCCGAGACTCTTGAGACGCTCAAGTTTGCTGGTCGTTGCTCGCAGGTCGAGACCAAGGCCCAGAAGCACGTACTCCTTTCTTCCGACCGTGCTGTCATCCGTGCCAAGGACATGGAGATTATCGAACTCAAACGACAGCTCGAGGAGCTGGGTGGCGGCCAGCGCAACTCTGGCAACAGATCGACGGAGATGGCCGAGGTGAGTAGCCGCTTGCAGCAAAATACGCACAGACGCTCGTCCCTAACGCACCAACGCCAGCTTGCCGATTCTGTCGCTGCCATGGAAGCACGCAAGGCCAAACTGTCGGAGCAGCTCGCCAAGCTCAATGGGGAGATTCTGACATCCGAGTTACCCCGCTCGGGCTTTGGCCTCCCCATCGTCTCGCCCCGAAAGAAGCGCCCTAGGATTAGTGACTTCACTTCTCTCTCAAGTGCCGCGATGGGCACCATGGGCGGCATGGGCATTGGCCTGGGCACCCCCGTCAAATCTGTCGACCGGCGCGCCGTCAGCCACATGGTCCGCGTGTCAGAGGACGACCTGGCCGCCGCAGGCGCCCGTGACGCCATGGTGGAAAAGCTGGACCGCATCAACAACGGCTTTGACACCGAAATCGCAGTCACGTCACTGCGCCGCGTCATTGCCACCAAGGATGAAGAGCTTGCCCAGCAGGCCCAGCGCCTTGTCAACGCCATCGACGACGCCAACGAGCTGCCTGGTGTCAAATCAGAGCTTATCAATATCAAGGCCGACTATGCCGCGACGCGCGACGAGTACAACACCAAGCTGCGCGATGTCGAGGCCGAGCTCGAGTCGACACGCGCCGAGTATCTGCACGCCCTGGAGGACAAGGGCAAGCAGATTGACCGGCTCGAGGGACATGTGCTCGAAATGCGCCTTGCGCACGACGAGCTAGTCATTGAGCACAAGAACAAGCTCGACAAGTTCCAGCAGGACCTCGAAATGAGCGAAAAGGAGCGTTCGAGCCTGTCCGACAAGCACAAGATCGAAATCACCAAGGTCAAGGACGCTATCCGCGGGCTGCGTGCCCAGGCCAATGACCATGCGGCCAGAGCCACCGCCCTGGACACGACACGCGCCGAGCTCGCTGCAGCCATTGCCAAGGTTGAAACCGAGCGCGATGACCTCATGTCCGAACGGGACAAGCTCAAGGCGACCCACGCCAACCTCATGACCGAGCGTGATGCCCTCCAGACGGACGCAAACGCAAAAGCCTCGCACATTACCACACTCCGCGCCGAACGTGACGCCAAGGCCGCCCAGCTCGACGATTTCCAACGCCAATCCCTGCAGCGCGAGTCTGAAGTGGTGACCACTCTCCGCAACGACGTTGGTAGCCTCCGTGCCGAGCGCGATGCCGCACAAAGGGACCACGACGCTGCCAAAGCCGATGCTAAAATCAAAGCGGACCAGCTTGATGAGTTCCAACGCCAGGCCCTCCAGCGCGAGTCCGAGTTCAACACGGTCCGCACCGACCTCGTCCAGGAGCGTGAGAGCAAGGCCAAGGCTGAGAACAAGCTTGCCCACGAGCGTAAGGTGGTCGAAAAGTACAAGGACACCTTTACCAAGGAGAAGGAGATCCGCGAAAAGATCAAGGCCGAGCACAACGAGTCACGCAAGAAGCTCTCCGAGTGTCAGGCTGCCAACGCCAAGCTCGAGGAAGCAATCAAGGAGCTCAACATCAAGCTCGAGGCCATGCAAGAGGCTGCCGTCAAGCGCGAGACCGAGCTCAAGGGCTCTGTCAACTCTCTCGTTTCCGAACGCGACATTCACCGCGACCACGCCGCGCAGCTCAAGGGTCAACTTGCCAGCTCGCAGTCTCAGTTCAAAGACAAGGAGCAAGCGCACGCGAGTTCCCTTCGCGAGGTCGAGGCTTTGCGTGCCGGTGCCAACGTTGCCGAGTCTATGAAGGCCGAGTTGGCGAACGCACGGTCCATGCTTGACAAGGAGCGCAAGGAGCGTGCCGGCCTGGTCGAGGCGCACACTGCAGCCGCGGCTCGTGGCGACTCGCTCGCTTCTCAGCTGGACGCTCTCAAGGCCACCGCCGACAAGGACAAGGACACTCGCTCGGACATCTCCACTACCCTTGACAAGACGAAGGCTTCACTTGCGGCTGAGCAAAAGGCCCACGCCGACACTGCCGCCAAGCTCAAGACTGCCGCCGACCATGTGGCAGAGTACAAGCGCCAGATTGCGTCAGAGCAGCAGATTCGCGCCGACCACGACAAGGAGGCCAAGAAGGCTACCGAGGCACACCAGGCCGCTGTGTCTGCCCTCCGCAAGGAGGTGGACGAGCACAAGGCTGCGCGCGGGGCTTCGTCTTCCACCACCGACAAGGTTCGCTCCGACCTTGACCAGGCCCGTGCCGAGCTTTCCCAGTGGAAAACGGCGCATGCCGAGGCCGACCGCAAGTATGATACCGAAAAGCATGCTCGCGAGGAGTCGGAGAGGGCTGCCGCTGCCGCCCGTGAGCAACTGTCCGAAGAGATGGGCATGCGCGAGGGCAGGGGCAAGGAGATTGAGGGCATCAAGCAGGAGCTCGCTGCTGCCTCCAACTCTCTGGCCATTGCCAACAGCGATCTCGCCGTCGCCAAGACGGAGATTGAGACGCTCCGCAAGGACCTTTCTGGTACTCGGGAACAGCTCTCTGGTTGTCACAGGGAACTGGATGCTGCCACAAAGGAGATTGCCTCGCTGAAGGCCGACCTTGCGAACGCCAAGACCGCCGCCGCCGCCGACACGGGCACTCAACTGGCCATGCTCCAGAAGGAACTGGACCTGGCACGTACCGAGCACGATGCCATGCGTGCCCGCAGCGATCGCCTCGCTGCCGAGCTCACCAACAAGGACACGTCTGCTCAGACAAGTCAAGAGATTGAGCAGCTCGACAAGGTCGTCGAGGCACAACGGGCCATGATTGAAGAGCAGCGGGCCAAGATTCAATTCTGGTCTGAGCAACTGGAGAAGCAGCGGGAGGTCGTCCGCATGCTCACAGAAGGAGACACTGCCGTCGCGCCGACCACTCCTCGCGGTCATTCCCGTACTCAATCGACTTCGGCCGTTCCCAGCAGCCCCTCCACTCCAGGAGCATACACACGGGCGACTCGTTCCGGCATTCCCAACACGTTTACCGCCCGCAACCTTGCGCTTCCTTCCGCCCCGTCTCCCTTGCCCATGCACGACGGAATGATGAGCACAAATGCGCTCCGCAAGGCGCGCAGAATTACCATTGAGCACGACATTGATCGTCTCCAGGGTCAAGGTGAGCCCTTCTCACCGCCATTAATGAGAGACGTGCTGACTTTGTTTGCAGAGAAGGGTCGCGTGAGTCGTATCAAGGGAGCGTTCGAGAGTCCAGACAGGGACGCGGCGCCCAAGAGGCGCATGTAGTCCTGTGACTTGCGCTTTGTGATCGTGGCATGTGGTGGCATGTGGCATGCGGTGTCGTGTGCTCACCGCCGTGCTGGTTGTACATTTGTCGAGATCCAATGTCATTTGTGTATTTTGTGACAGTCATGTGCAGTCGAGGACGTGCCCCGGAAACACACTATGCACGGAGAGCGGCGCGATGCCGCAGGTCGTGTGTTTTCCGGTGGCGCCCGAAACACACTACGTGCGGAGAGCGGCGCTGTGCCGCAGGTAGTGTGTTTGTTTTGTTTTGTTTTTCAACGGCGCCAGGGATCGTACTAGCCTAAGCCGCCTGGGAAACTGTGATGAGGCGGGTTTCCACGCGAGTACACAATGGGAAGCGGGACATGCATGTAGATAGATTCGGTGTCCGGAAACTCTTCAAAAGCACCCGCTTGACTATGGGTGGACAGTGGTACGGTGGCCGTACACAAACCGCATTTCCACCTTCTTCCGTCAGGTTTGATGCTACGACGATGCAACCCAGACCGTCGAGTAGCCGTCCCAAAAAAATGTACCACCCGGTACACGATATTCATGCAGAGGGTGAACGTAGTAGGCTTCCGCGTAAAACTGACCGCCACCCACACGTGATGTCAGATGTGGCTCTGTTCGGCCGTGCGGTGCGGTTGCCGCGGCGGAGTGGGGGTTTTATTTTTATGTACATTATTTTCTGTTTTTTCAACCCGCTGATGACGTCCATGTAGACCCATGTAGACGTCCATGTATCAGCCACGCCACCTCGCAGTACAACATGCACTTCCGCAGCTAACCTGTGTACAACGCCCCTCATGCCTCGTGTACGACGACCTCTAGTTATTGCGCACACTTTCTGCACCTAGTCGTGGTACGCGTCGTCGTCAATATGTGATCAAAAGACACACCACAAACCTGGGAACCCGAGTCGCCGTCGAAGTACTCCTGCACTGGCGAGTTGACTTCGAGTCGCTGAGAATGAACTGTACCATGTAAATATACTAATGACTCTCCGTGACGACGGCAGTGCGCGCCCTCGGCTTGTAGAGCGGTGGTGAACTTGAGAGGATCGCCTCCGAGGTCGAGTTGTCTGGCAAGCGCGGGGAATGAACACACCAGGGCCGGGCAGCCATGGCGCCTCCTTGACGTCGGCCGCCCTCTCGGCGTCACCGCTTGTGGCAGAAAACCCGGCGACGTGAGGCATCGCCTTGCCCCTGGCACCTCCCATCCTGGTGTGCTTGCGGCTTGGGGGCTCACTCTCGTCACTTTTGTTGCTTTCAATGCTGCTGCTCTCACAATCGTCGGCATCGCTGCCGCTCGCCTTTTTTTCGCTGTATCTTTGAGGTCTTGAGCTCGTTGAGGAGGACGGCAACAGGAACAGCAGCATTTATTTGCACTGTTTAGTACTGCTACTACCAGGAAACTTACGAGGGGTGTGGGAGCTATCATGATGCAGTATCTAGTGTCAATCTCCGCCGCCGAGTCCTTGTCATTTTGTTGTCAACACTCCCAATCACAACATCAAAACTACCTGCCCACTTATTGATAGCCAGAGCACGCGAGCCTCTTTGCAGGGTTCATAGTTGGGTAGTGCAGGCCACGGTTACCAGTACAACAATACAGGGGGTAGACTACATGGTCGAAATGCGGTCAGCGCCCCTTCGGAACGTATGTCGGGCCCATCTGTTGCCTGTTCATTGCAGTTTAGAGATGTACGATGATCGGGACGCTACAATTACACGATGCAAAATTGGGCTTCAGAGGAAGTACAGTACATACTGGGAAACATCGGGCTATGACACACTGTGTAGAATGTTAGAGGACAGGATGGGTGAATGGAGGAGGGTGGCAAACAAAGTGTGGACGAGATGGTCATAGACGTGGTTACGGCACGACAGTGTGTCTCATTTCCATCCGCAAAGACATGTACACCCGCCTGCCAGTAGCCGTCATCTCTGTAGCTGTGTGTCATTGCTGGTTATCTGCCTAGCCAAAACAAAAAGCCTGGCCTGGGCAGCCCTCTGCAGGCCGAGATAGCTCCCGTTCAGCTGATCAGTATTTTGTGTAGGCATTTGGCAAAGCGTGTAGTTGGTGTTATGGTAAGAACTTGGCAAGCGGTAGTACGGTCGCCCAGTTGTCCTGCGAGAAAGGAGCCAACCAGTTGAACAGTGTTTCTTACACTCACTGCGTTCTACTGAAGCCGGGTGGTACGAAGCCTGCAGCCGGGCAGCAGCCAGCAGCCAGCAGCCAGCACGCAAGTCCTGTCAATATATCCCACGACCTCCTTGGATTCTGCTGCTTCCCAGGCAGGCCATACGTACAGCCGTTTCCAGGTGCCCTTCTGTAGCCAGCGGCTAGCGACACACACACCAACAGCAGTCTCCATTCGACCAATACACCCGATGTCATCTCTGCACTGGGTACAAACAATGCGCCATTGCTGGCTCTCTACCTAGACGAAGCAAACGCCTTCTGGACGGCACGCTTAAGGCCGAGGTGGGCCCTCTTCAGCTGGTCGGTGGTCTGCAAATGGTCAGCGAGCTGCACATGGGGATCATATTTGTCCATATATAAAACAAAAAGTGAGTACTCACGATGTCCTCAGTCTCAATCGCCTCGAGCGACTTCGCGATCTCAGCCTCGATGGCGGCGCGAGCACCACGCTTAAGCTTGGCGCCCATCTCGGGGTTGCTGATCTGGCTCTCGGCAGTGTGGATGTACGACTCGAGGTCCGACTTGGCCTGCAACAGTGTCAGCGAACAGTTCATTAGGAAGGGACAGAGTGGAGTTGTGAGGAAGGAAGGAGCAAGCAAGCCAAGTAAGGAGCAAGCAAGTCAAGCAAGGAGGACGAAAGACGACCGCTTGCACACTTGCAAGTATCACAGGGCATGTGGGCACCCTCATTACGTAAAGGGGCAAAATTGATGCCAATGTGGCACCCCCCCCAAGACATTCGCAATATCTTCTCCTTTCACCCAAAACAACTTTCTTTACTCACCTCGTGACGGGCGGTGTGCTCCTTGTCGCTTGCCTTGTAAGTCTCAGCGTCGCCTGGGCGTTGTCAGCATCTGTTTAATGTAGAAAGAAAAAGAAGAAAATTCGGAAAATTCGGAAAAAAAAAAAATCGAATCCACTCACGGATCATAGCCTGGATCTCGTCGGACGAGAGACGGCCAACCGAGTTCTGGATGGTGATGGCAGCCTTCTTGCCCGAGGCCTTGTCCTGGGCCGAGACCTTGAGGAGACCGTTGGCGTCGACCTCGAACGTGCAGACAAGCTCAGCCTGGCCGCGGGGCATGGGGGGGATGCCCGACAGCTCGAATTCGCCGAGGAGGCGGTTGTCCTTGCACTGGGTACGCTCACCCTCGTAGACGGGGAACATGACGGTGGTCTGGTTGTCCTCAACGGTGGTGAAGACACGCGACTTGTTCGAGGGGATGGGGGTGTTGCGGGGGAGCACGACACCGAAGATGTCACCCTGCATGGCAACACCGAGCGAGAGGGGAGCGACGTCGAGGAGGAGGAGGTCGGCGGTCTTGTCCGAGGTCTGGTTGGTGAGGACGGCACCCTGGACGGCGGCACCGTAAGCGACAGCCTCGTCAGGGTTGATCGACTTGTTCAGCTGGCGGCCACCGAAGTACTCGGAGACGAGCGACTGGATCTTGGGGATACGGGTAGAGCCACCAACGAGGACAATGTCGTCAACCTTGGCAGGGGTCGACTTGGCGTCCTTGAGGACCTTCTCAACGGGCTCGATGGTCGACTTGAAAGCGACGGCGTTGATCTCCTCGAAACGAGCACGGGTGATGTTCGACGAGAAGTCAGTGCCCTGGTAGAGCGAGTCGACCTCGACAGTGGTCTGGGTGACCGACGAGAGGGTGCGCTTGGCACGCTCACAGGCCGAACGGAGACGACGGAGAGCACGGGGGTCGTCCGAGATGTCAAGCTTGTTCTTGCGCTTGAACTCGGCCTTGAAGTGCTCAAGGAGGGTGTTGTCGAAGTCCTCACCACCAAGGTGGGTGTCACCAGCGGTGGCCTTGACGGCGAAGACACCACCAGTGATCGAGAGGAGCGAAACATCGAAGGTACCACCACCGAGGTCGAAGATGAGGACGTTCTTCTCCTCCTTCGACTTCTGGTCGAGGCCGTAGGCAATGGCGGCAGCGGTGGGCTCGTTGATGATACGGAGAACGTCAAGGCCAGCAATGGCACCGGCGTCCTTGGTGGCAAGACGCTGCGAGTCGTTGAAGTAGGCGGGGACGCTAATAAGGGTCAGCCACTGACTGCGCCACAATTGTCCGTCCGTCGAGTCCTTTTTACTTACGTGATGACGGCCTTCTTGACGGTCTTGCCAATCTTAGCCTCGGCAATCTCCTTCATCTTGGTGAGGACCATGGCGGAGATCTCCTGGGGGGAGAAGGTCTTCTTCTCGCCGAGGTACTCGACCTCAACGTAAGGCGAACCCTCCTTGTCAATGACGGCGAAAGGCCAGTGCTGAAACCAGTCAGTGCCTGTCTAAATAAATTTTGTAAAATACTGACAGCCATGTCCTTCTTGACGTCCGAGTCGTCGAAGCGGCGACCGATAAGACGCTTGGCGTCGAAGACGGTGTTGATGGGGTTCATGGCCGACTGGTTCTTGGCGGCTTGGGGGCGCTGTCAGTTTTTTTGGGTTCCGGAAAACCTTCCAATTGCGCGCAATACGCTCAATCTACTCACCATCACCAATGAGACGCTCGCCCTCGGTGAAGGCAACGTACGAGGGGGTGGTACGGTTACCCTGGTCTGGAATGTGTCAGTCACATGCGCCGCTGCTTGCTGTGGAGCCAGAATTTACCGTTGGCAATGATCTGTCCAAAGTCAGCTCCTATTCTTTCGCTATGCGTCGTCCTAGCATCCCAAACTCACCTCAACGCGGTCGTTGGCCCAGACACCAACACACGAGTAGGTGGTGCCAAGGTCTGCGGAACAATGTTAGCTGCCTGCGCCTGCACACTTCGTCTCCATGGTCCAGATCACGCACCGATACCGATGGCACCCTCGAAGATCTCCTCAGCGGACATGTTGAATAGTTTTGTTTGGCTAGACGGCGGTGTGAGCGATGGGGCTTCTCGATAGAATGTCCAGCGGCGGGCCAGCTTGTACGCACCTGATGAATCTGCCTTTTAGAAAGCTTGAAGGAGAGGAGAGTGAGCAAGACCAAGATGAGGACCCCAGCGTCGCGGCGCCTGCAGGGGGCCATCCGTCGGCCACTCAGTGCCCGCCTAGCAAAAAGTTGCATTCAAGACGACTCGCTTTTTGCGGCGTTATGGAAAGTGGCGTTTGGTGGAGCGGGATGGCCCGGGCGGTTTTGGAGGCTGGAAAGGTCAATTTGTCTCGGACAAGTCGCCTCCCTCATTGCAAGCTCCGCTGCCCACCATAATGCCAGCTACACACGCATAACCACATAACATAGTTCACATGCAACAACTCGCTACAGTTATTATAGTACATGTCCACCTGCACCTGCCGCCCTGGAGCAACACAGTGCTTCTTGATCTTCTCAATCGCAGTATCGGGCCATCGTCTCGTCTCGGTTTTCGCTACAGGCCCAGTTCCTGAAGCAGGAGCTTATTCTTTTCAATATTCTGCAGCCGTTGACTTTCGTACTCGTTGGCGGGAACTGGAACAAAGTGAGCAAACCAGTCAGGCATTGGGGATGATATCCGATCCCTACCTTGTAGAGCGTCCGCGGCCTTCTGCGTCTCCAAGTCGGAGCGGTACTCGGCAATGGCACGCCGATCGTCCAAGGGAAAGCGCTTGTGAAAGTCGTAGGCGCGGAACCACTGCTCATGTAGCTCTCCTCCTTCTTCCCAGCGAGCAAGGTACGTGGGTACCTTTGATTTGGAGGTGGACTTGGCCTTGGTTGTCTTGTACCCAATGACGACGAGGTCTGTGAGTGTCAGCACAACGCCGGCTGAATCCGTACCCACCGTCCTGCTTCTGAAGAGCGGGTGGCCTGGGTGCTACGCCGACATAGGACATTCTAAAACCGGCCTCCTTGCGCATGGCCAAAGTGGCTCGCTTGACCGTTGCGGATCGGTTATGCCTCTTCATCTCGTCTTCGGTCAACCAGACCTTGGTGCAGTGAGGCGATGGCTCAATGGCGTCGGTCGCCAAACCGTATCGCACTAGGTAGATGGGCTCCTGTTGCCGCTGCCGCACGTTGAGGATGGTAAACGGCAGCTCTGTTTGTCAGTCCATCTCGCATTAAGAGAGGCTGCCCCATACGTAGACAGACGTCGCCTCGGTGCAACTTGATGTAAACGCACCTTGACGGTCAAACTCTTGCACCAGAGTCCAAGCCCCCTTCATGACGTTGGACCGCCCCTCCCAAGTGTCGTCCTCTGGTCCGTATCCCTCCCAGCGCACAAGGTAAAAGTGCTCCAGGAAGCCCATGGGACCCTTGCTCTTGTCGAGGGAACGGGAGAGAATAACCTCGACATCGAACCTCGAGGAGGCCGCTCGCTGGATATCGGTCAGTTCGGCAAGTCAGAAACATCCATGCAGCCCACCTTGAGACTTGTGCGAAGTGCGGTGCCGTCCTCTCCGGATCCCGATTTACTCATAGTCGTTGACACACGGTCAGAGGGGGACGAGTAACTGGGAGCGACAGTGGAGAGGTCGCCGCCGAGATTGTTGGAACAACCCGCGTCCATCGCGTCGCGTCTGGCGGCCGTGCCCACGTGAGCGTGCCTGACCCCGCGCAGTGTGCTCCAAGCGGACCGTGGCGCCATATGGCTGAGGCGGTCTTGGGACAATGGGTGGTGGTGAGAGCTGCTCATGTGTGGGGAAGAGAGCATGGATGGATGTCAGATGGATGGATGGATGGATGGGACAGCCTTTGTGTGTGCATTGTGACGAGAAGAGAGGGAGCGGCGATCAACCTGCCTGTTGCGGACGACGACGGTTGCTTCCTTTGGCTTCTCACGCACAGTCTCTGGATCTCTGGCCCGTTCCCCCCGGTAGCACGCCCCCTTTTGGTCGCTAGCAAAGCATTGGCGCCGAAGGATCTGTGTGTTCTTGCGTTCTCGAGCATGGATGCACGCGCAACAAAACACAACACGTCCATGTGCCCCCGCGAGGACACTCTTTCGTCGCCCCCACTCTCGTCTTCGTCTTCTTCTTCTTCGCTCTTGTTCTTCTGACTTGTCATTTTCACAGCCCTCGTCCCATCTCATGCTGTCCGTTGCCGATATGACTGGCACTGTGGCGGCCAGACAACGGCCACAGAGTGTTGACGGACCCCGAATGGACGCAAACGGCAAGCAGTTTATCTCGTGCACACGCTGGTGAGCCCCCGACATTCCGCATCCTCCCCACACACTCCAGACTCGCTTGGCTAACCGCAACACAGCCGCTCCCGTAAGGTGAAGTGCACCGGTGAACGCCCCGTCTGCACCAATTGCGCAAAGAAAGGCTTTGGCTGCCATTACGACGCTGCTGTCCGCCGACGCGGTCCCGACAAGGAGCCGGGTGGTGAGTCTAGTCTTCGTGTTGGCCTGCTCTCCCAGTCTGATGCTGATCGTCCTTCAAGGAAGGCTGAAACCCCGTGGAACCTTTGTGAACCGATTTGCCCACGTTCCTCCCGATGGCACTTTCCCCATGAGGGTGCCCACAGTCCAGTTTGTCGAGCTTATGACTCCCCGCCAGCGTGTGGAGCTTGAGCAACGCGCCAGGATTGCAGAGCTGCACCAACGTGGAAATGCTTCGCCAGGCCAATCGGCGGAGCCGCCTGAAAGCTGGTGGAATCTACTCTTCGAATATCTTCCTGTTGACAGCGTTATTGAGCATTGCAAGATGTTGTGAGTCTGCCGTTGGGTCTTCTTATCGTAGCTGACAACGTCAGTCTGAGTGACTCCAACCTCTGGCACAACTTCTTCCACCGTTCACTCTTCTTCAAAGAATTCTTCAGTAAATCGCTAGCCCCGCACATTGTGTTTGCCATCCTCGCACACACGACGTTCCTGCAAGCCGGAAAAACGCGGACGGGCCAAGTCCGTGCACTCCAGTTCGCCGAAGAAGCGCGCAAAATGCTCGACCACTGCCTCGAGTCTGGCCCCAAAGAACCAAACTTGGCCCAAACGGCCTTGCTTCTCGTCGCATTCGAGTTCCAGCCACACATTCATCAAAACATCGCCCGTGCGACTGCTGCTCTGAGTTACATGGAAACTTGTGCTCAAGCGTGCTTGAACAGCTGGCCTCGTCACCTCAAGATGCCCCTGGGCCAGGTTGTCAACGACTCACAGAATGCTAGGTCGACGTCAATTACTGCCATTCGCCAGGAAGAACTCCGTCGTATGAGCTGGACCCTCAGCCAGTTGGCGACCAGTTCAACCATCTGGCGTCTACTGGGCGACAAGTCTGTCATCAACTTGGCGTCTGCGGACCCTACTCGCGTAAGCTGCCACTCCCTTTTCACCACTGACACCCAGTTCAACCGTTTATTGCCGCTGGACAAGGGCAGCCAACACGACGACCCCAGTGACCACACCAGCTGGCTGTTGTACTACCGAGCCGTTTGTCTTTGGTGAGAGAGGAATATTCCCAGATCTTAAAACTGACAGTAGGCATGTTGCTCTCAACAACGACCTTGACGAACGAGAGCGGGCTGCAGTCTCCGAACAAGCTCGAGCGGTTGAGACTGCCGCCGAAGTGTCCACCAGCTCTGCTGCCCGCAACTACAACTGGCAAGCTGCAGAGTGGGCCGTAGCTGTAAGGGGATACCTCGGTGACCTCGATGCCAACGACATGAAGACCTGGTTTGTCGCGCAAGAGAATGCCCTTGTCAATTTCACCAACCGGGGCGACTCGCAAGGCCACATCCAGCGGCCGTCTTACTCGTGGTGGTTCTTGATGGTGGCATATACGTGAGTTGCCTTGTCCATGCTGCCTCAACTTACTGACAAGATAGAGCCATCAAATTCTTTAAACATGCTCCCGAGTTCGCCCCCGAAACCGATTCCATCCTGTTTTACGTGTTCACGGGGTTGGAGGACACGATTGCCGCATGGCCTTGCTCAAGTGAGTTAGGTACAAGCCCTCCAAGTCGACAATGGAAGCTGACTCGCAGCCTTGGAGTATCACTACCAGGTTCTTCGTAGTCGGTACGCGACTCTCAAGAACAGCATCGCCCCCTAGCCGCTGTCGAAGCGGAAAAAACACCCAAAAATTGTGCGTTGGGGATGGAGATTGCGATAGTAGACGCGCTACAGACGGGACGAAGGGAAATGATGTCACTTGTCGGATGAGGGCGCCGGTCCGGTTTTGGCCCGCGGCGAAGCGGCCAACTATTCAAGTGGATATATCAGCGGGGACTCGATGCAAACGTTGCGTTCTTTCCTCACTTTCACAACGTGCCCCTACCCTCGCCCAACCCCCATGTCTGCTTACGGCGCTATCAAAGCCCCTTCCACGTCTGCCGAGTCGTTGGCGACTCGGTCGTACGCGCTCGCGAACGGTCTGACTCTGACTACCTACCCCGTCTCGGGCTCGAACACGTCCCCTGAGCTCATCGCATACCTCGCCGCGGTCTTCAACCAGGAGCTCGCAGGTACGTACCCAAGAGGAAGCTTGCATTGAGCTGACTTGGGAACAGAGGGAAAGACCTACCCGCAGGAGGGCCCCTTGACACTGGAAGAGTTCACCAACTACTTCTTTGGGGCTGCTACCATTGTCGCCATCTTTACTCCTACGGGTGCCGCAGCGCCAGCGACCGTCGAGGAAGCTAGGGCAGGACGCTCATGGGAGGAGGCTGTGGGCGGATGCTACTACATCAAACCCAACTACCCCGGCCGCAGCAGCCACGTAAGTTGCCCCTCAAACTGAGCTTGGAAAACGGCGTCCTTTAGAGCTGACACAGAGCCCAGAACTGCAACGCCGGCTTCCTCGTCCCTCCTGTGCAGCGCGGCAAGAAGGTTGGCGGCGCCCTCGCTGAGAGCTATCTTCACTACGCGCCTGCGCTCGGCTACCGCGGCAGTGTGTTCAACCTGGTGTACAGCAGTGAGTGGCTCGGATTTGCCAGGGTGTCCGTCTGTGCATCGTCGCAGTGGCAAAGAAGCGAAAGCATAATGTAACACGAGCTAACAAAGTAGACAACGTCGCTTCCCTCCGCCTCTGGGACAAGCTGGGCTTCACCCGCGTCGGTGTTATCCCCAAGGCTGGCCTCTTGAAGACCGGACTGAACAATACCGAGGAGTATGTGGATGCGTTTATCATCCACAAGAGCTTCGTCTAGGGGGGTCTCTTCATCGAGGGCAAGCTGGGTAGTTTTAGATGGCTGTCTTGAGAGGAGTGTCGCGAGATTCGGGGACAGTAGGCTCAGTCTCCAGGGGTTTAAAGATGTTCTTTTGGTAAAACTCGAGCTCGCGAATGCTAGCACGGATGTCGTCGAGAGCGCGGTGGGCAGACTCGTAAGGGCGAGCTGCGCGTTCCTGCTTGATGAGGTTTGGGTACCAGCGGCGAGCAAGTTCCTGTTAGGTTAGCGTTGGTAGCAAGCGTACATGTACCTTGACACTACTGCAGTCGACAATGCGGTACGAGAGGTGCTTCATGACCTCAGGCATGCCAATCAGAAGGAACCTTGGGAGGGTCAGCGGGAAAGAGCAACAGCCGCTCCACCTAATACACCTACCTCATGTCGGCGTGAACGGAACTGCCAGCCAACAGGCCAGCTCCCTTTTCGGGGATCCAGCGCTTGATATATTCGAGTACCTTGGCGGCAACATCCTCGTACGAGTGCGGCGAGTCGATGCATGCCTGGGTCAGACCAGACTTGCCGTGCTGCTCGGTACACCACTCGCCCATCCTAAGGTTGGGTCAGAAAAACGCATGGGACGGAACACGTACTCATCGAGCACCTCTTTGGGCGTGTGGATCACCCATTCGACACCCTCGTCCACAGGTCGCAGGTGTCCGTCTGTGATGATGACCGCAATCTCGATGATGCGGTCCGTGTTGGTGTCCAGACCGGTCATCTCACAGTCGACCTAGGCGGGGTCAGTAACTGGCCGACTGATCAAAAGCGTCAACTTACCCAGACCATCGGGCCGTCATTATATGTCAGTGACGAATGAGCCATGGTGGGGGATGTTGAACAAGATGTGGACAACGAACGTTCCATGCGATCCACCCCAGTCTCTCGTCTCTCATGTGATACGCGATGGGTGCACGCGTTTATTTGTTTTTGAACATTTGAACCCTTATCCCGTCCCTGAGACTACTGCACTGGTACTACAAGATTGACGGTGAAATACGAGGGTAAACTGTGAAGTAGCTACGACAAATCCTCGATCCTCTACCTCCTCAACTGGCCAACTGGGCGACTTCGACGACAGTCGTACCCTCATTTACTGGCCCTGGCCACCCTGGCCGCCCATGAACTGCGACGCACTGCGTTTTGCGTCAGCTCGGGATAACGTGAAGGAGCATCAAAAACGCTCACAGGTCACGCATGGCCGGGTCCTGGGCGAGTGCGTTGAAGTCGGGCATGCCACCGCCGTTCTGCATGTTCTCTGCCATGCCACGGAGAGCAGGGTTAGACATGAGACGCTCGAGGCCGCCGTTGGCCATCATCTGCTGGGCCCTACGTGTGATGTCAGCAACAGCACAAAACAGGGGGGGCGCAGTGCCACCATCGGCAACGGCCCAGCGTTTGAGGGCTGGTGACGTACATGGCCATCATCTGGGGGTTGCGCATCATAGAGGCAATGTCGGGCATGCCACCAGCACCGCCAGCGCCGCCACCGCCAAACATGCCCGCGAGCGCGGACAGGTCGGGCATACCGCCAGCACCGGCACCGGCGCCGGGGGCGGGCTCGCGGTCGGAGACCGAGGTGCTTGTCTGCTCAGCAAGTCGGGTCTTGGCAGTGGCGAGCGACGACTTCATGTTGGCGTTGGTAGGGTCGAGCTTGAGGCCCGACTCGTAGGCGTCAATGGCCTTCTGGTACTCGCCCTGCGAGAACTGGGCGTGGCTGACGGCCAGCGTCAGCGCGGGCCAAGAAAGAGTATCTCGTCATCAAAATCCACATACCCGAGACGAGAGAAGCCCTTGGCAAACTTGGGGTCCAGCTCAATAGCACGCTCAGCATCCTCAGCGGCCTCCTCGTGCTTGCCGAGACCGCCCCAGGCAGCGGCACGGTTCGAGTAGAAGACGGGGTTGGGGTCGAGGGCGATGGCAGCGGTGTACTCAACAATGGCGGCGTCGTAGTCCTTCTTGCCCATGAGCATGTTGCCCTTGGTCTTGAGCTGCTCAGCCTTGGCCTTCTCCGAGGGCGTCGGGCCCGACGAAGCAGCGGCAACAGGTGTAGCAGCAGCGGCGGGGGCAGCGGCGGCCGAAGCGGTCTTGCTCTTGGTCTTGGTAAGGACGTCAAGGAGCTGGAGGAGCGATGCGGGCTTGATCGAGTAAGCGGCCTGGTCCTCAGCCGAGTCTGGGTCCACGCCAAAGGCCTCGTTGATGACCTGCACTGGGACAAGTTAACGGAAAAGCTCAGATCCTCATGGCTTACCGGCCACCTCGAGCGACTCCTTGTCGTCCTCCTTGACGGTGCCGTCCTGGGCAGAGGTGCGCAGGAACTCGACGCTGGCACACATTAGCTCAGAAATCGCAAGCTATCTGGTAACCAGTGACGTACATGTTGTACGCAAGCTGCTTCTTGGGGTCGGCCATGTTGGTGGTGGAGAAAGATGTGGAATGGTGACTCCAGAAGTCGATGGAAGGTGGCTAGAAACCGCGACGCCGCGACGCCCTCGACGCCCGACACTCGGCCACGTGGCCTTTCAGTGGCAACTTGCATCAATAATGCACCCGGGCCGGACCGCGGACTGTCGACGACCCATCGTGTCAACAACATCGAGCTTGCCAGTAACAAGAGCGCACCACGCACCGGCCCCTCCGCTAAGCACCATCGTGGCATGAACAACAAGAGTACAATACTGCGCTACACAGGTCGCCTATCTACGGAGATCCACAGGGACACAATGTCGAACCAAGCTCGGATCTCCGCCTGGCGCGAGCTCTCTACGCATCGTTGGGTCTTATTCCTCAATGGCAGACTCCTCGGCGACATCATCGGGCGGCAGCTTCACGCCTTCATTAATGAGATGCCGCATAATATCGCTGAGGCTGATCACACCAACAAGACGGCCTGGCTGCGGGTCGTCGGCGCCCGCCACGACAACCAGACGGTGCACACGACGGATCTTGATGAGGGAGAAGATGGCGCCAAGAGAGTCCTTGGGATGACAGGTCACTACACCCGGGAAGTCAACCGAACGCTGCTTGAGCGCCTGAGCAATGGTAAAGTCGAGAGACTGGTACGCGCCAAGTCTGACAAGGGTCTGGGAGTTGTTAGTTGCGCGCCAATCGGTGTCCCAAAGCTCACAATGACGTCCACGGTCTCGTACAGGTTGACCACCTTGCCCTCATTGTCGACGATCGGAACCGCACTGATTCCGAGCTCTGAGAACATGTGGACGACGTCGAAGACGGTCGTCTGCAGAGTGGCGGTTGCAATAGGGCCAAAAGGTTGCTCAGCCGTGGGAGACTTGACGTACGTGCCGACACCGAGCTCTTGGACACCCTTGGTCAGGTATTGGGTAATGTCACGACACTGCGCTGTCAGGTTACGTCCAACATTCTGCTACTCACGTTCATGGCAATGAACTTTAGCACTCGGTACTGGGTCAAGACACTGATCACAACCTCGCTATCGGTCTGGGTGTCCTTGTCAATCAAGGGGAGACGTCGGGCGTGGGTCTGGATCAGGCATTTGCAGGCGTCAAAGAGGGGCCGGAGAGGGTGGATGGAGAGTAGAGGGGGTGGAGGGACGTGCAGCTCGCGCTCAATGTCTACATGTCAGCCACGCGTCAGGAATGGAACACACTCACCTCTCAAGCTCTGTAGACGGAACTGCTCCACATCGGCGGCCGCGCCTTCCCAACTGGACGTGTGGTAGTAGTATTGAATGAGGTGGATGACGTCTTGCACAGTGAACATGCCTGCAAAGGTCGCTTGGGCCGTGTTCCACAGAGGAGCAGATACCACACCTTGGAATCAGCTTGATTCTCACTTGCACAGTTGAGAGCTCACCGTAGAGAAGCATCACGTCCAGAGCCTTCTTCACCTTGAGGTGACTGTCGAGGACAATGAGTCGGAAGCTGACTGGGAAGACGTCGTATGACGAACGCTCCTTGAGGAACGCCCGCAACGCTTCCAGTGCTTCCTGATGGGTAAGAGGTTTGAGGGGAGCCACTGGAGGGTGGGCTGCACGCGAGGGACGGCGAACGATACCGCCAGACGCGGACTGGGACGACCGACGGCCAGACCGCGAGACGGAGGGCATGCGGGCCGGTGCGTCCCCTCCGGTGGCGGGTTGCGCGGTGGATGGGGGAACGGACATGGCAATCCGAGGTGGAGATGTGTCTAGAGTTGCCGTGTGAAGATGCTGAGAAGGAGTATCGAGCCTGTGGGAACTGTGGTGTTGGATGGACGAGTGGATGGTGGATTGGGGGGATGGGATGGCTGTGACGGGGCCAACGGACACACGGGGGATATGTGCGTACGGTGACGATGGCGACGGAACCATTTGGGGCAGTGGGCCACACCCGCGAGGCACACAGACCATGGGTGGGCTCAGGACCAATACCACAAACTGCGTCACGGACGACATGCATATACTTGGGGGAGAGCTGGTTATATATATATGGGAGGGGGTGGGGAAGTGGTACAGGTCCACATTGGGTTTTGTGATGACTGCAAGGCGGGTACTTGGAGCTTTTGGTGTAGGAAAGGGCTGCTTCGTGGGGGCTCTCTACTCGTCGTCGCCGCCGCGGAACCTCTTGCCCTCATCCTCGTCGCGGCGCTCATAGTCCTCCTCCTCCTCCTCCTCACTCCTCGCACGCTTGATGCGCTCAGCAGCCTCACCAGTGGGCACATCGGCACCAGCCTGGCCGAGACCACCAATGGCGGCGTACGTGTCGAACTGCACCTGGGTACGGAGACGGTCTTGCTCCTGCTGGCGACGCTCAAGCTCGAGACGCTGGTGACCCCAACCACCTCGTCCACTGTCGTACTCTTGACGGAACTCGTCACGCACTTGGCCACCGCTACGTCCACGTCCAAACTGGCGACCCTCCTTGTAACCAGGGTCCAGATCGCAACGGATGATGCGCTCGTCGAGCTTGGTACCAGAAATGTAGCGCAGGCAGGCTACGGCCTCGGAGTGAAGGTAGTACTCAACAAAGGCAAAACCACAGGGGGTCCTGAGAAGGTTAGAACAGCAAGGATGTTGAGATCTCACTTCTGATGACGGTCAAGACCCATGATGATTCTAACGTTAGCTTTGACTTGCGATGGTTTCATCTCACCTCTTGATACCACCTCCCTCCTCGGGTTTGGCACATGTGGAGAAGACTACCATGTAAGCATTGGCGTGCTCCCAAAGCGACTTACGCTCATACATCTGAGCCTCGGTGGTGTAGAAGCTCAGGTTGCCGACGTACAGAGTGCACGAGTGCGACAGAAGACGACGCTCAGTCTCCCTGTCCAGCTATACCTGTCAGCAAAAAACGACGAGGCCCTGCAGACGCACCTCGGACTGGCTGTCCTTATAACTGGATGGAAGGTCCAGGGGGGAGACGACGTGCGACATTGTGGGACGACGTAACGATGTTGCAGACGAGACGAACGCATGCCAGGTAGAGCCTGAAGTCTTGGGTGACGGTGGAAACAACATCTGGACATCCGGGGATACCGTGGGAAGGTTTGGCACGTGATGTGGAGGACGATTGGGTCATCGTTACCCCGAGGCGCGTCGTCGTTGTCGCGGCGCACCTTGGATCTATTATCAACATCGTCATTGTCGCTCCAGCACACCCCAGGTCATCATGTCTGGCAACGACTCAAACCTCAGTGATGCTGAGAAGGTGAGATACCCATCCAATAGCACCTTGTTGACAATCCAGATGCGACTGAAGCGTCTTGCCCGCCTTGGCGGTGCAGCCTCGCCTGCCCCCACGCCGCAACCTCCGGCGGCGGCACAGGAGGCAGCGTCGGCGGCTGAGACCCACACACCAGCTTCAGCATCGTCGCGTCTCCTTTCTCAGCATGCATCGAGCTCACCAAGGCCCACCGCTCCTTCGCCAACCCCGGCTAGCACGTCAACCTCACCTCCTAAACGCCCTTCGCCGGCTCCAGCAGCCCCGACGCCGACTCCTGCCTTCAAGCGCAAAGTGATCCCGTCCAAGCCTGTAGTGGCACCTCCAGCTCCTTCTCCAGTGTCCATTGCCACTGCTGTTTCGCCTCCATTGACATACAAGGACTGGGAAGCAAGCAAGGTGGCTACGGTCTTTGGCGTAACTCTGGAGGTGAGTGATGGCTGTGGCAATGTGAGGCCGACGTGCTGATCAACAGAAATCATTTGCAGCGGCGACCAACTGGAAGCAGGTCTGGCTCAAAGGACTGGCGGAAGAGATTCGCGAGGAGAACCCAGGTGGGTTACATCCTTTGCTGTATTGGGCGCTGACGTCAGATGCACCTTCCTCGTTGAAAGTGTCGTTGGACCTTCGCGACCGCCTTCTCATCGCCCGTCTTTCTCTGGACCCCGCCGCAATGGCCACCTCGTACGTCATGTCTGTCTGATGGCTCACTGACCGTTTAGCAGCGACCCTGATCAGCTGCAAGTGCTGGCAGGCATGCCCAAGGACGAGACTGTGTTCGAGTACCTCACTGGCTGCTGGAAACGTCTCTACGCGGCCAATCGTGAATTCGCTCGCTTTGCATACAGCAAGGAGGAGAAGACCGAATGGGCGTCTGCCTTTGCCGAACTGAAGAGGTTGATCATCTCTTACAGCGGCATGACTCTGGAGGACCCTTCCATGTTCCCTCAGCCCGCAGAGTACGTTCATGCATGTGCACCAGCTGATCCCTCAGTCGTCCGGTCGGCCCTGCCGAGTTCCTGCCGCTTCTCCTTGGTGTCAGTGGTGAAGTCTCTGGTAACGTTGACCCTTTGACCTCGTCCTCCGCCCCAGTTGCTCCCACCGTTCGTGGTGCTCTTGCTCCCGGGGACCTCCTTCCTTTCCTGAACGACCTCGCTGTGGGTTTCCAGGAAGGGTCTCTGGCGGACGTTATCACTCCTACTCTGAGCCTCTTCTTCCAGGAGTGGTTCAAGATTGTTCCCACCCCCGACTTGATGGGCACGGAGTGGCGCAAATACCTGGGTGCGGTGTCGCTCCTGGTCAAGAACAAGGCCATCGCCGCTCTTCTCCCCTCGTTGCCCATCTGGGTTGCGCCCGGTGTTACGGCTAGCAAGATTGAGTGGCAGTCCCTTCTGGGACCTCTTACTCGTCTCAGCGTGTTCTCCCGCGAATTCGTAAGCCTAAGGGGAGCACACCACCTCACTGTGCTAACGGACCAGCCTCAAATTGAAAAGACCTACTTCTCCAACCCCACGGAGAGGCGTACCGCGGACATTGACGCCAACAAGGCCAACCTGCGGAACTCTCTCGAGGGCCTACAGTCCATGCTGTTTGACATTTACAACAGCATCGTCCGTGCCTCGCCCGAGTCCCGTGAGGGTGTTCTCGACTTCATTACTCTCATTGCCAACTTGAATGACAAACGTTCCGGCATGAGAGTTCAGTACACAACCGTTTCGTCGGACGGCTTCATGATCAACCTGCAGTCCATTCTCCTGAAGCTCTTCGAGCCTGTCATGGACGTCCAGTTCTCAAAGGTGAGTAACCTTTCCCGACTATTATGTACTGACAACAAAAACCAGATCGATAAGGTCGACCCCGAGTACTACCTCCACTCCAAGCGCATCGACATTGCCGAGGAGACGAAGATCCGTGCTTCCAAGGAGGAAGTGGACGAGTATTACGGCAGTGCGATGGACGTCGACGCCAAACCCAACTTCATCTCGGACATCTTCTTCCTTCTGAACTCGATTCATCGTCTTGGACTGGTTAAGACCATCGGTACACGAAAGGACATGGAGAAGGGTCTCCAGGAGCTCGAGGATGACTTGAAGAACCTCGAGGGCCGTCGCGCAGAGTGGAGCAGCGTATGTAATGTGCGTCAGGCTGTGCTAAACATTGCAGAACCCTGCTACACTTGCTCAAGGCGAGGCTGCGGTCAAGAAACTGAAGGTGAGTTACCTGGCAACGCATTTCCGCTGATTACCTAGGACGATATTGCCAGGCGCCATGGCTTGCTCCACACCTTTGACACTCAGCTCCTTGACCCCAAGTTTACGAGGTTGACTGTGACGTTCGTTGGTTTCCTCATGAACTGGCTGCTGCGCCTCGTCGACCCCAAGCACCAGCACCCACAGGTTCCTATCACCCTTCCTCTTCCCGCAGAGGCACCCCAGCAGTTCAGGATGCTTCCAGAGTTCCTGTTCGACAACATTGTCGAGTACTACGACTTCCTTTCCCGGTGAGTTTGATCTTGGAAAGGCGTGTGCTCGTGTGCTGACTGGGATAGTCATGACTCGGACGCTCTGGATAATGCTGATAAGGACATCCTCATCACGTTTGCCATTACTTTCCTCACACCGGGCTATGTCAACAACCCTTTCCTCAAAGCAAAGTTGGTCAGCGTAAGTCTCCGCAGCGCAGCGTAGGTCAACTAGCTCATCTGCCCAGACCATGGCCAACGGCCTCTACCCCCAGGGTTACCACCGCCGCGGCCCCCTGTTTGACCGCTTGAGCGTTCACACTCTGTCGACCCAGCACCTTATGCCAGCTCTTATCCGCTTCTTCATTGGTGGGCCTAGACCTTTGTGTGAGGACGTCACTAACAGTAGACGTCGAGATAACCGGTGGTCACACACAGTTCTATGGTTCGTACTGCCTCTTTTGAATGCGTGCTGACTTGATACAGACAAGTTCAACTTTAGGCGCGACATGAGCAGGATTATCAAGTCCATGTGGACCAACCCTCTGCATCGTGAGGCGTTCGTCAAGTCGACTCGGTGAGAATCAAGGCAAGTGTAGCCAGATGGCTGACGGTTCAGCGACGACTTCGATCAATTTGTCAAGTTTGTCAACATGTTGATGAGCGACACAACGTACCACCTCGAAGAGTCTTTGACCCACCTCACCAAGATCAACCAAGTCCGCGCTCAAAAGGCCAATGTGGACGGGTGGAATGCCATGGACGAGGCCGAGCGCAAGGATGCGGAGAGCGAGCTCAAATCGGCCGAGCGCTTTGCTGGCTTCCCCACGTCGATGGGTCGCGACCACGCCGAGCTCATCCGCGACATTACAGCCACCACCAAGGAACCATTCCTCACTGGCGAGATCGTCGACCGCCTCGCTGCGTCTCTGGACGAAAACCTGACAAACCTTGTCGGCCCCAAGATGCAGGAGCTCAAGCTCTCAGACCCCGAGCGCTTCTCATTCAAGCCGAAGCCGCTCCTCGCCGCCATTGCCCAGATTTATCTCAACCTCGGCACTGAACCGGCGTTTATCCGCGCAGTCGCCAACGACGGTCGTAGCTACTCCAAAGAGCTGTTTGAGCGGTTCGGTCGCGTCCTCAAGCACCGCGCTATCATGACTGAGGCGGAGGCTGATGCGATCCTGGCGTTTGCTGATCGCGTCGAGAATGCCCGGGCCACCATTGAGGAGGAGGATGAGCGCGAGATTCCCGACGAGTTCCTTGGTACGTCGTTGACTATGTGTCACTTGGAACGCACGCTGACGCTTGTTACGCAGACCCTCTACTCGCTACCCGTCAGTTTCCCCGGGGGCTGCACCGTGCTTTACACTTTACTAACATGTCGCAGTGATGAAGGACCCTGTTATCCTGCCCGTTTCGCGGGTGACAATCGACCGCAGCACCATTCGTGCGGTACTCCTGTCCAAGGAGCTGGACCCATTCAACAACATGCCGTGCGTAGAAAGTCTAAAACTGTGGGACGACGAGCTGACAGACGGTTTTCTACAGTCTCAAGTACGAGGATATTCTTCCTGACGTCGAGCTCAAGGCGAGGATCGAGGCCTGGGTGGCTGAGGGCACGCACGGCGGTGGCAAGGGACAAGACGCCGAGGCTATTGATGTGGACCAGTAGATTTAGGTATGAACCCCCATGATGTGATAGTGTTGAGCCAGGTGAGAACGGGTCACCGCTTCGCCACATGAGCCTCCTTCTTGGGCGCTCCTCTCCGTACCGCACGGCTGACGCTCACCTGAATCTCGTCAGGCGATCAATCGCGGTCGGAGAATTTGGGACATGGGAGGACGGTCCTGGACCAGGAAGGATGCCGTGATGTGTTCCTGTTCGTTCCTTCGCAGTATCCCACCCAGTACGGAGGAGGAACACGAGGGTGGCAGTAATTTCCACGGGCACCTCGACATCAGACACAACGCGTGAGACACGGCTCTAACGTGGAACCCATTAGAGAGATACCACACCATGGCCGGTACTGTAAGTACATTTTTAAGAGTGCCTCGTTATTGCGTTACTGCAAACGTAGCCATTGGCCATTGGCAAAGGACGGAATTCGCATATCCTTGTCGTCCATGACAGGAGGGACCCTGGTTAATCGGGGGTGTCAAAGGTGATGTAAAGCGCTCCCTCTGCAAGGAAAACGGCGATCGCTGCAGCTGCTTTGCACCGAAGCGTGTCCATTGGGCGGGATAACTCGCGTGAGGCATAGGTGCAGTTTGGCAGTGGCAGAGGGAACCCGAGCAGCCCCCGCAGCCGCCCGCAGCCACTGGAGAGGGATCCGTGCTTCAAGGCTGAAAAACATTCAGGCCGGAGAGCTCGTGAGAGCTCTTGGCACCGAGCGACCAGTCGACTTGGAACTGCGAAAGAGGGCGGGGGAATCGGTGAGGGTGGCGGCGGGCGGTATATGGCGCAACGGCAAGGCGTCGACCACTCTGCCTTTCCGGCGGCTTTGCAACCATTTGTCTGCATGTCTGTCAGTAGCTGTTGTCCCACAAACCGGACGGGCACACCGAAAGTGAGTTTGAGCATGCCGCCGCGTCCATGGAACCCGGGGGACGCTTTGCTGTCGTGGCCTCGTGGTCGGTTGGCAAAACACGCGGCCGTGCCAAAGCAGCAGAGTGACGAAGGTCGTCTCGAGCACACCGGCTTCTGGGTCAGACGCGCGCACTCCAAAACGACTGCCACCTCTATTTTTCGAGTGTGCTGTGCACTTTCTTACGACTCCCACGCTTGTCATGGGCCACGCGAAGAACGGCGGCTCAAAATATACTCTGGGGTGTTGTCTGATCTGCGATATTATTGCGCGGGGGGAGGGGGGTGGCGGAAGACAGCAGCGAATGTATTGGGTGGTGTTGTCCATGTGCGTGCGCCGTCTAGTGGGACACCTGCTGCATTATCGCGATTGATGCTTGTTCGTTATAGGCAGCAACCGAGCTGCAGAGAGACTGCCAAGCCCAAACTGCTCTTTTGCAACAACGTATACGCCATGTGCATACCACTCTGGCCACTACTGTTTGCCACCACCCGGGCACCCACACCAGCGAGGATCCAACCCAGGAGGATCCGACCCAGGGCGGTGGGGCGGAACGGGAACGGCACGTCGACCTGTCGGCCCCGCGGGCCTGGGCTCTCGCTGGTGCGGCCGCTCAGGACACGCACGCGCGCGCGCGCGACCATAGGAAACCTGGGATGTACATGGGATGCACCCCGCGCGCGCCGGGTCCAGAACGGCCAGAACGCCCACACCAAGAGGAACCGACCGACGGGCCGTCCAGACTGCGCGTACGGGCAACCCACAGAGCAAAAGTGAGAAAAAGCATATGCTCGTGGGCTGTGCGTCAAAAAAAGGCAGAAACCCCCTTACCCACTGGCGCACGCGCACACCCGCCCAGCGAGAGAGCAAGGGGGGGACGTGCTGCCAGGCAAGAACGGGACCGGCTCTTGTGAAAGTTAACCTTTCGGTGCTCATCTGCCCCGGTCCTGGCATCGTACTCACTTTCATCCGGACCCCATCTGGGCGACACCACCACCATCGCCGCCACCACCACCACAGCGTTGCTTGCGGACACCCCTCGTCGTGGACCCGACCATGCGTGTGTCGATCCTGGCCACAACAGCCTTGCTCGTCGCCAGCGTCGGTTATGCGGCCGAGGTCCCTCGCAGACTGCCGCCAGAGCGACCACGGCCGGCTCGACGGGCCCTCTTTGGCAGAGATGACAACGAAACCACGACCACCGAGACCCTCGACTCATCCACAGATGTCGCTACCGCCATTATTGACGCGACAGGCATGGTGGGCAGTAGCAGCACTAGCGCCAGTGTTGCCGACGTCACTGCGTCCCCTACAGCCGCGTCCACTACAGAATCCATGTCAACAACCCTGTCAACAACGTCGAGTGTAACCGGCGGTAACGCGACCTCGACTTTCTCCCTCCCCCTCCCCCCATCCTCAGTTCCAACAGCCCCACCGACACCAGTACCGACGCCGATGGAGACCAACATTTCGAGCTCCATGTCCACGGCCTGCTACACATACTTGCTCAACCTGCTCAAGTCGGCCGACTTCATCTCGTGCCTCCCCTTTTCCCTCCTCCTCTCCGCCTCTTCTGCGTACAAGACCCAAGTGTCTGCGGCTACAACCACAGGCAACTTTACGCATCTCGATCTCCTCATCGCATACACAGTCTCGCCACAACCATCTGCAGAGCAGTGTGACGGCAACTACACCACCTACTTGGCACAGATTAGCGACAAGGGAAACTGTGGCAGTGATCTGGTCAACTCGGCCGTGGCCAAGCAGGCGCAGCGGGGGTTGGGCAACTACGCCGTCATGCGCACAGCAGCGGGCATTGTCGATCCCGACACGGGCGTGTACTGCTACCTCGAGGCTGTCGCAAGCTCTAACCCAGCGGACCTCTATCTCTGGAGTCTTCCAGCGGGCAACATGTGAGTGCAAAAAGGAAATGCCGGGCCAGCAAACGCCTCCGTCGGATCCTTGATCGGATCCCTGTCTTGTCTTGTCTTGGCCACACGTCCACGCGGCCAGGCGGAAGGGCCAGGGAGGAATGCACTCGACGCGCACAGCTGCTAATGCCCCGCGCAGTTTGCCAGCGACATCAACGCCTACTTGCTCCAATTGTTCAGCATTGCTGATGAACCACCTGGGCGCATGGGTGGGCAACACGACCACCTTGAATTCCACACTCATCTCGTCGGCCGTCTCCACGATTAACAACAAATGTGGGGCAAACTTTGTGACGTTTAACCCGACCACATCCACGACCTCCACAAACAGCTCTGCCGCGACGCCGCGTTTCCTTGCAGCGACTGCACTCTGGGCCACGGTCGTTCTCAACATTCTGTTTGCTTGGGCACTCATCCTTTAATCTTAGATGTCATTTTTAAACCCGGGGTTCATATGCTACCAATGTACTGTACGTTTCTATAACCTCTGACTCAATCCAGAGTTGCAAGCTGCACAATGGACAGGTCAAGCTCGTCTCTTTCACAGCGTTCGGGTAGTGCCTGGCCGTCCGCGTTCCGGCTGCCGCTTTGGGTGCCAGTGCCGTCGACAGCACCCTTGTCTGCTTCTGTCACCTCGTCCACCGAAGAAGAAGAGGAGGAGGACACGGTGAACAAGAGCGGCCGCAGGCGTTGTTTCATGTCATAGGTGATACTCGCGGACAAGACATCGGCAACGGCCAGGGTCGAGTTCAGGCCGTACACCATGGTAGCCGCGTAAAAGAAGTTTGCGTTTCCGCTACCGGTAAGGAGCCACAGCGAATGAAGCAGCGGAAGGAGGATGCAGGTGTACAGGTGAACTGTAAGGGAGAACAAGGGGTGTCGCAGGTCTGCGCGGGTGTGAGTAAATAAAACATCGAATTGTCCATCGCTTCGTGAAGGGGTGGGGGGCGGGTTCGAGGGACGGGTCACTCAGTCCAACACGTCGTATAGACGTGCCGGTGACCGCGCGTTGGTTAGTCATTACTTACTCGCAATGAGCTCGGGGAAGCAGCCCAGCAAGCCGGCCCACAGTCCCATGTCCCCGACAGTAGGGTAACTCTTCCAGGTCGAAATGGTGCCGACGAGGATGAGGACGACATGAGTCGGGTCCGCGAGGCGGATACACAGAGGCGCCACATAGATGAGCATGTGCATCTGAGGGCGTCAGCATCAGCTATGAGCCATGCGGCCTTACCTGGAAGACACCACGGAAAAAGTTGCGAAAGTGGTCAAACATTTCAGTGAAGAAGTACCACCACATCCCGACGTTGGGCGTCAAGTCGGACACTGTGAGTCTTGGGGCCCGTCAGCTTTGCCTGTGAATCGCCTCCCTCTTCAACGTACATGACACCGAGCGTGGGCCGTGCCCATTGCGTACCGCCAAGCACAGCTGTCTCCAGAGCGCCGATACCGGCGTATGTCGCGACAAGAACAACAATGTCACGGACAGCAGAGGCCGCAGAGCGCTTGGAGTCCAGCACTCTGCTGAGCACGAGGAGAAGTGGGGGCAGCAGGAGAGCTGGGTAGAGAGACGTATGCGTGGCGAGAGCTAAAGCCACCATCGAGCTCACACCTTGGCCTGGTAATCGTCAGGGAACAAGTAGCGAGGTTGATGGCAGGTCCCGACTCACCGGTACAAGCTCCCATGATCGCGGCCAGGATGAGAACATTGTCCAACGAGGTGGTCGAGCGCGCGATGCAGGACAAGACAATGTAGGGGTTGAACAAGTAGCTTTATGCCCAAGTTAGTCGTCATTCACCGGCTGTTGAGGAATCGGCTTACAACAAGGCGACGAGGTGGTCCCGGCCCTCAAACTGGTTTTGTTTGCTGATCGAGCGGGAGCGCCAGATCTTTACCAGTAAGATACTCCCCACAATGTCTGCCAGCGTCCACAGAGCCGCAGTGAGGAAGGTTGAGGTGATTGGGATGACGTAGGTGAAGAAGAAGAGGTAGATGGGAGACTGGTGGTGGGTCAGCAGTGTGGCCATGCTTTCCGGATCGTACGTGATAGAAGACACCACCAGCATATGGGTTCAACCCGTGGTCATACAAGTAGACACCCTCCCGCACAGCCCAGAGTCAGTACACGGCCGATACGGGGAAGTGCTCTGAAAGCTCACAACTCCGGAATGATGTCAAAGGCGAAGTAAGCTCCGGTCGTCGTTCCAGCGTCGCTGCAAACGGCGTGGCAGCGAATACTGCGAGTCGCAGAAGCGCACCCGCGAGTAACACGCCCCGTACACGGTTTTGGGCGATGTCGGACGCCTTGTTGATTGGCATAGTGGATGGGATGGTCAGATGAGTGAGCAGCAGCCAGGATGACCTGGATGGCCTGGACGCTGGACGTGTGTTTTGGAAAACGTGGCATATCCCTGGTGGAGGTATCGTGGAGGTTTGTTCCTGGCGTGTTCAGTCGTCTTGTCCTCGTCGAGGATTGCAACAGTCCGGTTCTCTGTTCGTCTTGGCTACGAGCTGTGCTCCTTAGATATTCTATACGCAATGCATTCGGTACACTGTCCATAATTTCTCGAACAGTCCTTGCCCAAAGGCGCCGAGAACTAACATGGGGAGCGCACAGCAGCACATGCGCACGCATGGGAAGCTGGAACCACATAGCACAAAAGATCAGAAAGACAAGAGACAGGGGGCAGGAAAAGGTGATGGAGGATGATCAGGGCGCTACGAGGAGGAGGGTGGTCGTCATTAGGGAAGAGAAGCCAAGCCGAATGCCAAGTTGCGGTGGGACTAAACTGTGTCGTCCATGCTGTGTTGCGGGGGGGTGGGGAGGGAGGTTGAGAGATGTATGCGGGTCGATGCGGGTATCGAGTAGAGGTCGTCTAAGCGTCCGAATGCAGATGAAGAGACGGAGCTTTAGGCAGAGGCAGCAGCCTCCTCGTCGACCTGGCCGAGAGCCTTCTCGAGCTTCATCTTGGGGGTGATGCGAGGCTCGCCGTAGACGTCGACCTTCTCGAGAAGGGCATCAATGTCCTCCTGGGCAAGCGACATACTGCGGATGAGGGCAGCAATCGCCTTGTAGGCCTGGGGGAAGTCGATGGCGTCGTCGTCCAGGGTAGGCATACGGGCCGCGAGACTGTTGGTATGTTAGCATCGGTTGCGTGCGGAGACATCATTTTCAACCTACCCAGCCTTGAGGTCGTCGACCGACGCCACGTCCTCGGAAACAGCCTTCTTCCAACCCTTGGCCACAACCTCGGCGTCGCGGTACTTGGCGATACGGAACACGTCCTCGCCGAGCTTCTCCGACAACAGGCCGCGGTGCTCAGCGGGGAGCGAGCGGTAGTACTCGACAATGTCGTCGGGATTCCTCGAACCACCGGCGTCCTTCTCACCCCAGAGCTCCTTGACGTCCATGTCGATCTTGGCCTTGGCAGCCTCCGCGGTCATCGCGGCAGGAGCAGCCTCAGCCTCAGCCTCACCATCGTCATCGTCCTCATCCTCGTCCTCGTCACCTTCGGCGTCCGAGCCCTCCTCGTCATCGTCGGTAGGGATGGGCTTGGTACGGGGAGCAAGCTGGAGCTTCTTCCTCTGGGGAGCGTCGGCCGACTCGGCGGCACCAGACTCGGCGTCGACAAGGGCACCGAACATGTTGGACATGTTGGTGGTCGACGAGTGACGCGAAATGGGAGGGGTAGCGCCGGCAGCACCCTTCTTGCCGCGGGCAAAGACACCCGAGGGGCCAAAGGTGGGTGCGCTGGGAAGACCGGCCGAGCTGACACCGCGACCAATGTTGGAGAAGTCGGTGGGACGCTGGGGGGGACGGGGGCCAGCAGCAACAGACTGCCACTCTCCAGGCTGGGCGGCGCCCTCGCGACGAGAGTGACCGGCACGCGAGCCACCACGCGAGAGGGATTCCCTGGCAGCCTGGGCCTTCTCGGCGTTCTCGCGAGCGGCCTGCTGGTGGATCTGGGCAATGGTGGTGGGAACAACCTCCTTCCTCGAGTTCCACTTGTTCCTGCGGAGGTCGACAACGTCCATGATCATGAAACGGATACGAGACGAAACGAGGTCGTTCTTGGTGAGAGCCAAGAGACGCTCGAACACGACATCCATGGGGCGGGCCGAGGTTTCCTCGAACTGCTTGCCGACGGTGGTGAGAAGCTTGCAGGTCGACTCGAGGTCCTCCTCGTCGGGGTTCTCGACGTTGCCGAGGAGACGGACAAGGCACTCGCGGATGACGCTTTTTGACAGCATCTCGAGCTTGTACAGCTCACCGATCAGCTGAACAAGACCAAGACCACGGCGCTTGGCCTTCTGAGCAATGTAGTACTCGTCGCTCATCATGAGAACCTCGCCACCGTTGTCCTTGTCCTTGCCAGCCTCAATCTCGGCGAGACGCTCCTTGTCCTGCTCGCTCTTGGCGGCTGCGCTAGCGGCAGCCTCCTCACGAGCCTTCCAGCCGGCCTCGAAGTCGGCCTGGCAACGACCGAGAAGGTACTTGCGGAACAGGCTGCCACCGGCGACGACCTTGCCGTCGATAACCTCGGAAACTGCGGGGTCCAGGCGGTCGAGCAGCAGGCGACACAGCTTGGCGTACATGGCAGACCAGTGCGCCTCGTCGGTCGACTTCTCAAAGACGAGCTTGATGACAAGCTTGAGGGTCATACCGTCGGTCTCCTCTCGCGACTTGTTGGCCCACTCGAGAATCTGAGCCGCAATTGAATCGAACTTCTCCTCCGTAAGCTTGTTGAGCAGGGCCTTGACCTTGCGCTCAATATAGACGGGCGACTTGTCATCGTTGGGAGCTGAACGGGCGTTGACCCAGGCGTTGGCAGAGACAGCAAGAGGGGCGACATCCGGGTCGGGCTGCACGGGCATGCGTGGCTTGCCACGCTGGCTGTTGGTGCCACGGTTGCTACGGCGGTCCATGCCAAAGCCAGAGCTGCCGGTACGAGCCATACCAGGAGCAGAGCCACGGGCACCGCCGCCAGCGAGGGACGACCTGTAACGGTCCTCGCTGGTGGTGCCGCGCATCGAACTGGTCGAGAAGTTGAACGAGCCCATGCCACCGGGAGCACCAGGGCCTGTGAACGAACGACCAGTACCCATGATGCCACCCATACCCATGCCGCTGCGGCTGCTGCCCGGTGCCGATGAACGGTTACCCCGGCGGCCGCCAAAGCCGCTAGACGATGACTCGGCCTCGAGACCGATCTCCTCAAGAGGAGGAAGAGTGTCAGGCTTGTCCTTGCAGACCTCCATGAACTGGAGAAGGAAGTCCCGGTCGTAACGGAACTTGCCGGGCTCGCCGTTGACGTTGAGCTCAGTGCGCTGAGGCTTGACCGACTCGGGGTATGCGACAGAAGTAAGGTCCTCAATGGGCTTGGCGGTGGTGAGCGCCGAGGGAGCCGTTGAAGCGGCGGGCGACGCCTGCGAGGGGCTCTTGGACTCCATGGTGGGGCGACGAGCGGCGCCGCCGTTAAGAGCAGCAGCGACGGGCTTAGCCGGAAGACCCGCAGCGGCGAGAGCAGGCGAAGCAAGGGGCGAGGCAACAGCCGACTGGGTAGTCGGTGTAAGGAGGGCACGGCGAGCCTCCTCGGCCTTGTCGGCAACTGGGGTCTCGGCGCTCTTCTCCTCCTCGGCAGCCTCGGGAGTGTCGACAGCCTTGGGGGCCTCAACAGCAACGGGAGTCTCCTCAGCCTTCTTGGCCTCGGCCTCCTCCTTTGCCTTGACCTCAGCTGCCTCCTTTGCCTTGACCTCGGCCTCCTCCTTGGCCTGGGTCTCAGCGACCTCCTTGGCCTTAGTCTCCTCCTCCTCCTTGGCCTTGCGCTCCTCCTCCTCCTTGACACGACGCTCGACGCGAGCCTTGCGCTCCTCCTCCTCCTTGGCCTCCTGCTCCTTAATCTTGCGGAGCTTCTCCTCCTCAGCGAGACGAGCCTTCTTCTGCTCCTCGGACTCGAGACGAACGATCACGGGGAGGGTAGGCATCTTCTTCTTGGGAACCTCCTCAGCGGCAGCCGCCAGGTCGGGGGTCACAACACCGCTCGACGAGGTGGAGGGGCCCTTGGCAGCAGCAGCCGCCTCGGCGAGGTTCAGCGAAGTGCCATCGGGACGCGAGATCTTGATGGTCGCCTTGGCGCGAGGGGTGAAAGCGACGGCGCCAGCCGAAAGGCTGGGGGTGCCGACCTGCGATGTGGGGGTACCCATCTGCTGGGGGGTGAAGGGAGTGCCGGCAGCCTGGAGAGGACGCGAGGGAGTGGTAGGCATAGGCGACGAGTTGGAAGGAGTCGACTGGTGGCCACCAACGAGGCTCTGAGGGCGGCTAGGGGGAGTGGGCATGGGGCTGCCACCAGCGCTAGTGGGCAGAGGAGCGTTGGGGGGAGCGGGCGACGCCTGGTTGCCAAGCTGAGCCTGAGCAGAGCGAGGTGACATGGGCATGTTAGGAGCGTGCTGCTGAGGAGGTGCCCAACCCTGCTGCTGCATGTACTGCTGCTGGTCGTAGGGGTTGTACTGCGGGTCAGCGCCACTCTGGTCAGGATTACACACGTAGTAGGCACCCTGGGGAGGGTACATCATCTGGTAGCCTGGGGCCTGACCGTGAGGCATGTACGGCTGGGCACCCATCATAGGACGGGGAACACCCATGGGACCGCTGCTGCCAGGACGGACAGCGGGCTGGTTGCCTTGCATCTGAGGCTGGGGCACACGGAAGCCCTGCTGCTGCGGGGGAACCTGTCCGCCGAACTGGGGCTGAGCCACACCCATGACGGGCGAACGGGGCTGGCCTTGGGCACCCTGAGGCGGACGGAGATGGGGCTGCGCCATCTGCTGGTACGGGTGGGGGGCCGAGTTGGGAAGACCGTTGGCGCCGGGATAGGCCTGGGGGAGAGACTGGCGGCGGTCGTGAACAGGAGAGCCAACCTGGGGGGCCTGCGAGGGCGACATGGGGGCACCCGGAGTAGGGCTGGCGGAAGGGGGCTTGCCACCGAAGAGCGAGTGGACATCAAGCTTCTTCTGAGGAACACCAGAAGGGGTGGTGGGGTTCGCACCGCCGCTGGTGCGGCGAGGAGGACGGATGATGGACGCGCCAGTGGCGGTAGTCTCGGCATCGATGGATCCAAACGACTTCACCGCATCGGCGAGGTGGCCGCCAGTGGTCGAAGGAGCCGCGGGCGACGACGAGAGGAGGGGGTTGGCCGAATTGACAGTGCCGAAAGCAAGGTTGCCTGTGGCGTCAGCATCAGAAGAACTGGCAGAAGAACTGGCAATGACATACTCGTGGGCACAATGTCGCCGTTGCCGCCAACCATCAGGCTGCCCTTCCTGGACCCAGCAGCGCCACCGATGGCGACTGGGGTAGAGCCGGCCGGCTCATTGACGCTCGCTCCGTTGGGCGGCGGAGGAGGGGTGGAGACAGCAGAAGGCACGTTGGAAGATGTGTTGGACGCCGCGGCGGGAGGACCGCGGGACCAGGCGGACGTGTTGGGCGAGGGAGCTTGGTTGGGCTGCTGGCTAGGCGGAGTAGAGGCCTTGCTCATTTGCGTGCGTTGCCTCGTGTAAGAGGGAGCGGGCGGCGAATGGCGTGAGATAGGGAGGGGGTGGGAGGGCAGGCGGGGAAAGGACAAAAACGGCTTAAGCGTCCAAAGTCCTTGTGACAACGGATATGCACACGGAAAGTGAGCAAAAGTACGTCGTCGGTACGAGTAGCGGTAGAGAAAAGACTACCACGGGTCGTAGAGAATCGGTCTGTTCGCCCAGTCTAGGTGGGAGAGGCAGACAAGATTTTTTAAAGGTCGCAAACCACTCGGGTGAATCGAGTGGGTGGATTGGGAGGGGGGGGGTCGGGGGGGGGGGGGGGGAGAAAGTCGACCAAGGGAGTCTCGCGAGGGGCGAAGACTCTTGCGATGAACGCTTTTGGGGAGGGGGGATGAGGGGTTGTGAGTGATGGATGGGCGGACACGCAGTGGGTGTCCTGGTAGTGGTGAGGAGAGAAAGGGAGGGGACGCCGGTGGGCGGGGGGAAGGAAGGGCACAGGCGTCTCTGCGTCCATTGCACGCACACTGCACACCGTTGGGCCGCGCGCTCTCGCTCGTTTTGCTCCCGCGGGCAGCGGACGACACACCCGCTGCTGGTTTGCGCGCACCCACAGCGAAAGAGCGCCTACCGGTGGGTAACAGTGGTACAGTGGGAATGCTATGCATGCATCCATGCGCACAGGAAGCATCCCACGCGCCCTTTGTCATTGGATCATTGTACTCGCGCCATCTCTGCCTTCACATTAGTACATCAACGCATCAAGGCAGCGTCACGATGCAGGAGACTTGGCAGACCGCCAGACGCGCAGGGACAATTCGACAATGAAAAATCCGCACGCGGCTGTGCCACTAAAAGAAGTGTTTGAGCGGCGGCAATGCAGTCAGGCAGCGGGCATCTGTCAGCGAGAGGCGCGGTTCAACCGCGTTCTCTGTCCGTTTGCACAGTGCTTCTGTGCACAAGGTGTGTTCAACCTGCTCGGCTGCCTCTTCCCCATGCTCTCTGAGGCTGTTTCGCGTTGCGTCTCTGGCCAACCAAAAACCTGTTTTGAGTAGCCCACTGCGCCACTGCCCTCTGTACTTAGCTCTGTGCGGCATTGGCTGCCACAGTTGCCACCTGCGCCGGGGTGTTGGCGGGTTTTTGAGCCGGAGGCGGGGGTGAGTGTGCCTAACCAGACTCATTGGGGCGTTTCCTAATGATATTCCTAAAAGAACCGCCGCTGGTTCTAATCCGACAGCATGTCTCTGTGCTAATACTAATATGCTTCCGGCCTACGTCCGATACACCCGCTCCATGCGTGTGCCTCCACGGCCTCCACCGGCCACCCAGCACACACGACCCACCCACCCACCCCCACACACACAATATCATATATCCGGACAGACCCGTCCGTCAGTCTGTCTTTCTCTTATCCCCCCCTTCTCCCTTCTCCGACAATCTCCCAACCCCTCACCAAACCTCTCTTTGGCACCACCATGGCCGCAACAGCACAGGCAACTCGCCCAGAGCCTCATGGATCTCGTACCATGACCGTCACACCAACAACCGACACTGAAGCGGGCCCCTCTACCGCCACTGCGTCGCCACCCGAGAGTCGTGAGAGCTCAGTCGGCGTCCTTCGGTTGCGTGGTGGGCCAGTCAGACGCCAACGCGTAGAGTGGGCAGCCGAGACCATTGACAACGAGGGTATGGGAAAGAAGAAATCAAAGAGTGAGTTACCCCAACGAGTTACATGTCACTGCGATCACTGCACAGATCAAACGTCGTCATGCTCAAGTGCGAGCCATGCTGACCAAACTCCAGTCTGCTGCATTTACCACAAGCCCCGGCGCTTTGACGAATCATCGTCTGAATCTGAATCCTCGGACGGCGACGACGACGATGACTGCTGTTCGCATGACAAGAACAACGATGGCGCTGCTCTCCGTTCACGCGACGGTAGCGGCGTCGGCGGCCAGGTGGAAGAGGACAGCAGCTCCGAGTCAGACGGCGGCGGCGGTGATGGCCGCGCGAGGTGCGTGATGACAACCCCGCCGACATTGAGGAAACAGACAAACTGACTTGTGCCAGGCCCGTACGTCGACCCCGCAAGAAGTCTCACACCCACGGCCACGGCCACAACTCGAAGGCGAACAAGTACGACGCCAAAGGCAAGGACAAGGCATGATGTCGTTGCAATAAGCCAGTATAAGCCAGTGGGGGGGGGGGGGGGCAGCGCCCACTCTTATCTATCCAGTTGCTGCTGAAGAACCTCAATCTCCTCTGGACCCTCTTGTGGGGCCAGATTGTTAGGAGTAGAAGATGTACATGCCCACACACACTCACACACACGTTTATGGCGTGCATCTCCATAGGTGCAACGTCATGCGCTGAGGCGATGGTCAGTGGCAACCGTCATGTGTGTATATATGGCATGCGGTGTGGTGTATACTCTAGATCTATGTGATGACGACCTTGGATTCCTGGTCGTCATACTCGCCCATGACGATGCACTTGAGACCCAACTCGAACCACTCCCTCTGCCTCTCAGACATCTGGCGGCCACGCATCCGCGATGACATGGCCAGGTGAAACTGCTCGCGCAACCGCTTGATGGCAAGCGCCGACTTGGGCTCGACGAGGAAACGAATCTTGCGGTCAATCTGAACAGAGGACGCAAAGGGCTGACCCATGTTAGCTGAAACCTAGGATAAGCAACTCACTTTGATGTCAACCGCATCTCCGCACAAGAGAGCGAGCGCCCGATCGTCCACGGGGCCCGTTTCCCATGCATACAACTTCTTGGACTGCATGAGGTTGAAATAGACGAGGTGGTTGACACCAAACTCGCCCTTGGGCCGCCGGAAGTTTATGGAGCTGGGGTGCTGTTGCGTCAGCTCAGAGTTGTACATGGTCAACGTACGATGGACACGGGCTGCTGGTTGGAGATGGTGCGGATACTACCAGAGGGGTCAAGGGCGAGGATCTTGGGGTATAGGCCCGAAGCGAGGGCCGCACCAACCACTTGTTCCGAGGCGGCATTGATGTTGACCTCGGCTGGGACAGTGACGAAACGTGTACGAGATCCGCGGCTGTATCGCGCCCTACGTTCTGTCAGCTTCAGCAGAACAAACGGATCGTACTTGGAGATCTCCTGCTTCTCCTGTGGAGTGGCCGGCACAAAGTTGGCGTCAATGAGGTAGCTGCGGATAAGTCAGTACGGCTGAAGAACAAGGCCACCTCACGAGAGAAGCTGCTGGCGGAGCTCTTCAATCTGTTGCAAGTTTTGGTGGGACAAGTAGTTGCGCTTGCAATATGTGCGAACAAAGGTGGGGTTATCGGACGCACGGCGCCAGCCGTCGAAAGCGTTGACAATAGTCAAAAAGTCGCTGTTACCAACAGCGAAGCCCTTCTTGGTCGCATCGGCCTGAGACTCGAATCCAAATGGCGTGATGAATGGACTCTTCGAGTTGAGTGTTGCCGCAATGGTCAACGCTGGGTCGAGACACTTGAAGAGGGTCGCTACCAGCAGGAACTTGCCGAGGTGAACGTCGGTGGGGAGTTTACTGAGCAGGCGACCCATCGGCGTAATCTCCTCATTGGCTGAGATGGCTTTGACCTCGACCAGCGCCGCAACGGCGCGTTGAATGTTACTCGACGATGGGGGATCCAGGGCACGCATTAGAACGTCTTCAACCGTGTTTCCGATTTTCACCTTGAGGATCTTGATCCGCAGGGCGAGGTCCTGCAGGGAGAGACGTAGCATTTCGGGGATGGGGTGCTCCGCCAGCTGAGTATCGTGACGCGCTTTGGAGAAGAGATGGAACGCGAGACCCTCCTGGACACGGCCGGCACGACCGCGACGCTGCTTGGCGTTGCTGCGGGCAATGTACACATCCACAAGGCGTGACAGCTGGCGCTTTTCATCGTACCTCATCTCCTTTTGCCTTCCTGTGTCAATGACACAAGTGATATCGGGAATTGTCACACCAGTCTCGGCAATGTTGGTGGCTGTGGATCGTTTAGAAATGTGCGCAACCTCGCAACTCACAGATGACAATCTTCCTCACACCCTTGGGGGGCACCTGAAAGACGGCACTTTGGCCTTCGGAGCTGATAGACGAGTGCAAGGGATAAATCACAAAGTCGGGCGACCCGAATCGAGGATGGGACTGAAGAGTATCGTTCAGGTTGCGGATCTCGGCAAGACCAGGCATAAACACCAAAGTCGCGGCAGAGAAGCGACCCATGTCTTGGTCTTCAAAGTTGATACGCTCCAAAAGACGAACGATCAGGTCATAGGGAATCTTGCGCGAGTCGAGAAGGTTGACGGTGGACACGGTGCGCGATGAATAGCGAGTAGCCGAGAGCTTTGTCGGGTCGGCAGGCTTGCTTTCGTCCCCAGACTCTTCATTTTCATCATGAGCATTGTCCTCCGTCCACTCGAGACGTTTCGTCCCAATCTTCTTGTTGCGCTCCCAAACAGCATAAGGCGACGACTCGTCAATGTGCCAGCCTGCGAGCTCTACAGCGTCCTCGAGGTAGTTAACGTTGACGGGGAACGTGCGACCGGGAACCTGCATGAAGGGGCAGCCTCCGAAGAACTGTGAAATCTTCTCTGCGTCCACAGTGGCCGACATGAGAATGACCTTGAGATCCTTACGGACCTCCAGAAGCTCTTTGAGGATGATAAGTAGGAAGTCGGACTCAATGGAGCGCTCGTGGACCTCATCTACGATGATGTGCGTGACCTCATCAAATGCCGTGCCCTTGTTTCCAGAGCCTGAGCCGCTCTCAAGCATGCGGAGAGCGATACCATTGGTCACAAACGCGAGGCGAGTGCTGGCGGAGATTTTTGATTCGAGACGGATGGAGTAGCCCACGAGCGAGTTGTTGGTGCCCACCACGCCCGGAGCATCACCGAGCTCGACGGACACACGTTGAGCCAGGGAGATTGCACTGATACGTCGCGGTTCCGTAACGAAGATCTTGCAAGGCTTGCCTTTCGAGAGCTGGTCTTCAAGAATATACGATGGAAGCTGAGTGGATTTACCACAACCAGTTTCACCGCTGAAGACAAGAACCTGGTTCTCATCAAGCACCTTGATAATCTCGTCGCGGAAAGGGGCAATAGGAAGGGTGTCACGGTCGCGGCGCATCTTTTGGTAGGGAGGCGAGGCGATCCTCTTCTCAAACGCTAGTTGGAGATCCTCTGAGTAAGACGGTAGGCTAGCGGTGGTCTTTTTCACGTTGACCGGAGCATTGTTCTGAGTCTTCGACGCAGCAGCCGAGACCGCATTGACGTTGGCCTGGAGTTTTTGTTCAAGGAGTTGCTTGACGTTCTGCCACACGTTGCGCTTCTCGGCATCGTCCTTTTCCTTTTGCGCGGCCTCGAGCTCCTCCCAGAGGTCGCGGTAAGCAGGAGGCATGCTGCGCCAGTTCACGCCAACAATCTTGCCGGACGCAGTGAGGGCGTGAAGCGCTTGTGTAGCGATAAAACTCTCGCTTTCCTCGACACTCTCGCACGCCATATCGTCCATTTTCCAAACTCTCCTCTCGCCAGACGGCCATCGAACCTCCAACCCAGCGCGGGCGACACGTGGATTGCCGGACAGGCGGGCATACGAGAGGACAGCGGTCTTTGAAAGTACGTTCCGGAGAAGAGCCTTGGCAGTGTTGCCTGTGAACGAAAACTGCTTCGGAATCGGCATTGATCGCACCTGGATGGTTGTGTTGGCCGAAACCTGGCTGCTGTCGGCAGGCTCGGCGGGCTCGTCCAGCATGTTGCCAAATAGGCCACCCTCCTCTTCGTCACTCTCGCCGGCAGCAGCGGTCTGTGACAGAGCTGGAGTTTCGGCAGGTTCGGGTGCTGGGGTAGAGGCAGCGGATGTCTTGGAGGACACGCCAGTGCTCTTGAGTTTCGCCTCGAGGAGCTGCATATCGCGCTTCGACTTCAGGGCCTTAAAGATGACATCTGTTGTCAGTGATCGTCACAACTATGGGGACTCACCGGCATCTTTCCGGCTGAACATGTATTCCTTCTCCACCTTGGCTATCTTGGCTTTAATCTTGACCATTTCAGGAGTCTCCATAACCACCTGGTTGGCCTTGCCCTTCTTCTTGCCCTTGACTGTACCAGCAGCCACCTTCAACGTGTCGAGCTCAAGCATGAGGTTGGCCCACGTCTCGTTGTCCTTGTTGTGATCGGGGTCCGCGTCCGAGTCAGACTCGCTGTCCGAGCTTTCGTCGCCCAATGACTGGAACAGCGAACCCACAGGCGCCGCATTCGCGGGTTTCACATCTAGTTCGGCAGGAGTCTGTGGGGCCGGGGTTTCCGCTGCCGATTCCACCACATCGACATGCGCAACATCTACCAGCGTTGAGTCCGTTTCGGACAATTCTGCATGTCAGAGGGAGCTCACAATCAATTGCTCACTCACCTTCCGACTTGTTGGCAAACTCGCCGACCTGACGACACTCGTCCTCACTCAAGTGAAGCCACATCTGAAAGTCAGTGAGACGTCAGAGCTCAACACATACCCATTCCACTCCCTCAGACCAACCGTCGCCCTCCTCAAGGCCTTCCAGGATGCACTGCGTGACACGCGCCTCGGTGAAACCAATGCGGAGCAAAACTTGGCGAGTGATGAAGAGTCGCAGAAGCGTCTTGTCCTCCTCAACGACGGAAGAGGACGGCTCCAGGCCCTTTACTGCGGTTCCCTCGGCGTCTTCATAGTCCTGCACGGCGTACAGAAGTGCTTCATCTCGGACCTTCGGGTTGATTTCCAGTCGGGGGAAAGTGGTAGCGAATCGCTTCTCGTACTCGACAAGCTGCGGGAGGTCAACCGTGCGTGCCGACGTGTACTCACCTTGATAACTCTTGTAACCTCCTTCTCTCCCTTTTCCTGCAGACGGTCCACCAAAGCCTGGTAGACGGCCGTCTCAATCGCATGATCATCGTCCCAGGCGTCTTTGGCCCCAGCGGGCGCTGGTGCGGCGTCGTTGGCGTTACTGGATGACACTACCGCAATGGGTGACGCATTGGACTCATCCGCAGCAGTTTTGGATGCTTCTTGTTCTTGGACAGCTGCCTCCTTTTCTGCCTTTGCGGCAGCTGCCTCCTCCTTGGCCTTCTTGGTCGGGAGTGATGTGGTGGCGAAGCCTCGCTGCACGGCTGTAGGAAGTGTAAGTGTCAGCCCCGGAGCCGCGGAGTGTATTTGCGGTGTAGACACCTACGCTTAAGAGACAGTTTCTTCTTGCCCATGCTGCCGAGGTGTATGTAATGCAAAAGACTGGCAAAAGGAGAGAGGATGAAGGATACAAAAGGCGAGGAGCCGAGTATGCAGCTGGCTTGGAGAACAGAAACATGGCTCTCGCACGGCGCGCGCGTGCGCGGTGGAATTAAAATGTGGTGCCCCGCCCGGTCATCGACTGACAAAGCCCGATTGCATGTCATCCTCCGCGCTCGCTGCTCGATGTGTCAGACGTTCCTCAGAGGTCGTCGTCGCCACCCACAGCATCACTCCCAGCCATCTTCTCTCCATCCTCTCCCCATCATCCCTCCATCCTCCATCCTCTCTCCACTCATTCGCCAGTCCCAGAGCCCAGCAATGTCCTCCTTTGTTTAAACCAGCACAATCCCTCGCGCTCGTCTCTTTACCCATAACCGCTTTGCCACCGGATCCAAGCTGCAAGTTACTACCGTTTTCCGGTTTCCACACCATGAAACGCAAACAAGGCTCAGAGTCTGGAGTGATCAATCCAGCCCCTCCACCTTCCCTCGCCGCTCTCGATGCCGCTCTCGACCTTTTGGCCTGCGAAACCTTTGGCCGTCTCCAGGAGCTCACAGCAAAGTTTGAGAGTGCTGCAGGCGTCAAGCTCAACGATGGCGTGGTCAAACATCGATGGGGAGAGGCGTGTATGCGCTACTATCTCATGAAGAGCATGGACGACCTCACATGCAGTGCATCTGCACTCAAAGCGCACGGAGACAATCATGATGAAATGTCAATGGAGGACGAAAGTGTGCCAAACGGTACTAGCCAAGGTATGTCCTGTTCGACAGCCATCTATGCCTGGCAATGTGCTGACATAATACAGATTCAGAACGCTACAAACGACCCATGCCGCAGTCTAGCCATCCTGGGGCAGTTGTTTCATTTGGCTTGGATGCCGATGAAGAAGCCCAGTGGCGACGCTGGACTCCCAAGGTCAACGACTTGGTTGTGGTCGAGCTCGCTGAAGAAGGAGTTTGGCCAGGCAAGGTGCGTCTCGCTCGTTACATAACATGCTGATTCGTCTTAAGATCATCGACAAGAATGTCTGCTTCCAGGGCAGGTCAATGCCACGAGGAAACCACTTTTACGGGGTACGCGTGTACAGTGGTACCATTGAACCGTGAGTTTGCTGGGTTGTTTATATCTGTCTCGCTCTCTAACCACTTAGATCAATGACTGTCAAGGCGCGTATGGTGCCGTTTTACCTACGCTCGTCCCCGCCGTTGATGGCGGCCACCAACCTCCTCAGCGCGTACAATCACGCGAATGAGCCTACATCATTCGACGCACTGGCTTCCAACCGTGAAGCCGCTGCTGCTCACGCTCGCACTCACCCTGGTGTTGGGGACGAAGACAGCTTGGCCAAAATTCAAGTCGACAAGGACAAGTGGAAGAAGTTTGTCAACTGGCTCATGGATGAGCGCCGCGTCGAGAAGCTTAGGGCTCTTTGCGAGGAACGCGGTCGCCGACTGCGAGAGGTCACGAAAACGACACCGACGGATGTCAGTGAATGGGACGACTATCACGAGAGCCAGCCTCGCAAACGCAGAGTTACTCCTTCCATTGCCCCTTTCTCATACAGAGATATTAAGAAGAACACGTTAGAGAAGTTGGAAGGCAATCCCAACGAGCGAGGTGGAATCTTCAAGATTACGTCCGTCAGCTCTACGTCATCCTCTCCCACTTCTTCGGCGGCTACACTATCAACCGCTAGCACACGGGCGACTACACCAATGTCTGCGTATATCCGCCCAGCTCTGTCGGCTGTCCCCTACCGCGCTGGCTCACCTCGCCGAGCAGACCGTAGACGTAATGGCATTTTCACCGGACTGGGCGAGTTTAGTCCTCGAGCCCGCGGAGGAACATACACTCCTCCTCGAGTGTTACCCAACGGCGACGAGACTGCTGTTTTTGGCTCGCCATCTCCAGCACCGTCGCTCAAAAGTTTTGACTTTATCAGTCCCCTTGGTCCGGTCAAGCTGGGAAGGCTGTCGACAGACATCGATGACGACACCGTTATGCAGGCCAAAAGTGGGAGTAACCTGGAGGCTGTTCTGGAGGAGGGAGAGGAGGATGACCGTTCCACGCCTGCGTGGACGCTCGCTGTGTCCAAGAGGCGTTCTAGGCGAGCCGGGTCAGCACCAGTTGAAAATGTGGACAAGGCGGAACACCGTGCAAAGGTCACGTCAAGTGACGATCTGGTCCTGTAGAGATTGTACGGTAGACTTTGTCTTCTTAATGCCTGTAGACACTCCATGACCTCATGTACAACGTTAACCCATGTCATTGCAAGCCATAGGTTGCACATTCGCCACCACAGCCAAGCTGGACATCCGGAGAGTGGAGGTGGAGGCCCGCTCCCGCTAATTTCCGTGCTTCTTCCTGTTAACTAACCCATCACTTCATCTTGCTTTATCACACCCCAGCAAGCGCATGCTTAAAGCTGCAAGGACAGTCATGTCTGCTCTCAAGCCTCCCCGACCCATTGTCGCGGTGATTGGCACGACTGGTGTCGGCAAGTCTAACCTCGCCGTCGCGCTCGCCCAAAGCCTCCCGAGTCTGAATGGGTCCAACGGCCGCGGCGTCGTCCTCTCCGCCGACTCGATGCAGCTATACAAGGGTCTCGACGTGATAACCAACAAGGTCACATCCGAGGAGATGGGTGGAATCGAGCATTGGGGACTAGACGTTGTCCAGCCCGGCGAAGGAGGAAGCTGGGAGCTTGGGACCTGGTGTACGGAGGCAGATAAAAAGGCATGGGAACTATGCCATGGGACGAAAGCTGACATTCAGGTCGACGCTACACCTCTTTCTACACTCCCTATTGTCTGCGGAGGCACTCATTACTTTATCCAGCACTTTCTATTCCCTCCCACCGAGCTCTCGCTTGACAGGAACAAGGCCGACAGGAAGGACACGACCTTGCGGTGGACACCACCCACCGAATGCCCTTCAGTGCCGGCGGACATGGACCCAGAGCTTAAGAAGCTGCTTGACACGTTCTGGACCACCGATGCCATATTCCCTGGGGATGTCACCGACGCAGCTGCAAGAGACAGCGGCACTGGTACATCCCGACACATCTCCCGTCCGGTTGCCAGCAACGACCAGCAACTCCTTGCCATTTGGAGGGTCCTTGAGGCTGTGGACCCCAAGGAGGCGGGTAGATGGCACTGGCGTGATGGCCGTAAGGTGAGACGAGCGCTTGAGCGTTGGTGGGAACGTGGGGGTGGTGAAGTCAAGAGCACCGAGGAGGTCCTAGGCAACGACGCGGGAAGCGGGAGGCGAGCGAGGTGAGTGAAGCATCGCATCGGCCGATACTGACTTTTCAGATTCCGTACCCTCATTTTCTGGGTCTATGAACCGTTGGATGCCCTCCGGCCAAGGCTAGATATGCGTGTAGACAAGATGGTGCAGGTAAGAGATTCCATGCAAATTCCACGACTGACAGAGGAGAACGGACTGCTGAAGGAGATTGAGGAACTTCGTGGCATTGCTTTGCGACTCTACGGGAGCGCAGACGCTATTGACCATGCTGAGGGCATCTTCCAGTCCATTGGTGAGTGCCTCTGGTGTAATTCGCTCTGACAGCAGGGTATAAGGAGTTTGCTGCGCTTCCTCTTCCCCAAGCCGATCCCGCATCATCACCCCTCTACCCTTCTATGCTGGCCCGCACCAAGACTGCCACGCACCAGTATGCCAAGTCCCAGATCAAGTGGATCCAGAAGCAACTTATTCCTGCCGCCCGAGAGGCACGCGCTCATGGCGGTGAAGTCTACGTCTACGTGGTCCCTGGTGGCCCACCTGGAGAGCCAGTAGCTTGTGATGTGCTCAGAGGTATGGATGAGAAAGCGGGACGGAGCTTATTCCACCAGCATTCTTGGCGGGAGAAGAACTGCCCAACGCGTCAAGCGTTGGACACAAGGCCTCCAGCGAGCTCCTGCGTACCCTCGGTGCGGCTGAGACGAAGGTTCCCGACACGGCCGAGTGAGTTGGCTGGGCGAGACCCTCTTCTGACCCTCCCCAGTCGTCAAACTCTCAATTCGCGGCGCATATGTGACCTCTGCTCGCAGCCTGGACAGCCCTACTCTATCAGGACTAGCGAGTGGGAGGAGCACCTACGATCCAAGATCCACAGGCGGTAAGCTTTCAACGTGTAGACTTGACAAAGCTGACAATGCAGTCACTCCAAGTTTGTCTCCATGACCCGCGAAGAGTGGATCGCGAAGCAGAAGGCCGAGGGCATCGCGCGCAAGGCTGAGCGCGAGCGGCTGCGCCAGGAGGGAGCATTCAGTGTACCCCCACCCTCATCTCCTCCTAGCAACTAGGCATATGCATTATATTCGCATGGTTGCATGTCGACGTAGTGGGCAGAAACGTCAGTAGCAGTATAGATCCAGAGGCTTGGGGCCACGACCTCCACATGTGTCAGGGTTCGACCACCCAAAGCCAGTCGCGACAGTCATGTGCGAGTTTTGTCAACCAAACACCTCTTCATCAATCACCTTTGCCCATCATGGACGACGACTTTCACTCCCTCAACAAGGTAATTCACACAAAGTGGGTGGAACCCAGTGCTGATATGTACGAAGGGAGTCTTCGTTATTCCTTTCCAGCCCGACGACACCGTGGCCGGTCCTTCCAAGCCTCGCCCGCTGGGCAAGGTGTACGACCATGCGTACCACCGGTATGAGACTGCATACAAGGTGAGTGCATATGTTGAGAGGAAGGTGCTAACGATAAAAGAAGTATGAAGCAGACCGTTCTGTAGAGCAGTTGGACGAGATTGCCGAATGGCTGGAGCGCTGCGACAGTCCACCGATGCTCAACCGCGCGTTTCCCATTCAACGCCTCCCACTGGCGATTATCCAAAGTGAGAGGACCAACAACTCTAGCAGTGGGGCCAGTTCACTAATCTAACCAGGTCTCTCACCCTCGATTGTTCCCCGTCTCACGTCCTTAGTCCCCAACGCTGTTACAGTCAACGGCCGAGACATGTCCGACCTCGCATCGGCTACGCGTGCTGTGGCTGTCGGCTTTTTGGGAGAAGCTGTGAGCACTTCCCAATAAGCTGTGCTGACCTTAGGCTTTGGCTTCAAGGAAAGCGGGCAGGACACCCATTGACGAGGTCGAGCGTTGGTGGCGTGGTTTGCATGACCGTGGGTACCCGCGTGCTCTCTTAAGCTCACACTTACAGAACCCCCACTGCTGCTGCACATTCAACAAGCACAGTTGGTCTCTACCGCCGTTCTCTCGAAGATAATGTACATCTTTAATCTCCACGCCGACATTCCTATCCGCCTTCTCGTCTCCGTCCCATCCATCAACATTTTCATGTCCACCTGGACCATGGTCGAGCCCAGCGAGGTGGACCTGAGCATTCTCAGCAGCGGACGGACAAGGAAGCGCTCCGCTGGAGTTCATGCTATCCTAAAGGTATGGACTGCGCATCAAAAGGGCGTTGATGCTGATGTCGTCAGGCCGCATCTGATTACCAAGAGGTCCCCATCGCCATCACCGACGAGTTGGCGGAAGAGCTCGGTGGAGAGGAAGAGCTGTTGGGTGGCGGGGCTGCAGGAACACTCAAGTCACTGAAAGTGAGTTTCTCCCGCTGTGCTTATCTGACACCTACAGTGGCTTTTGTTGCACCACAGCTACACTTCACCGCTGGCATCCATTGCCGATGACGAGAGCAGGTGGGAAATTCTCGCTCTCTACGAAGGCGTGCTAACCGCTCCAGCGACTCTCTCCGCAAAGTTCAGGCGTTGGTTGACGAGATCAAGGAAGGACATAATGGGTCGGGAACCCATCTGTTCACAATGGATACAAACGCCGACCTCATTTCTGTGAGACACCGGTTTCAGGTTCACCCATTGACGAACCAGGTGCAGAACCCCACCCCTCGCTTGTCCATTTTACAGGCACTGTCCAAGCCCTCGACGTTCTTGCCTACTACCTCTCCTGCGATTGGCGATTTGCACGGTCATGAAAACGGCGCCGAGGCCGATGGGGCAGACCCCAACAGGACATCACCCCTGACATCTCGCAAGTCTGGCTCCGCAACGCCGAAGGACGATGACGCTGTGGTAGGAGGTCAGCGAAGGAGTGACGTTGCAGAGATGGCAGATTGCAATGGGGAACCAGCCGCCAGTCGTCCCTCCAACGACCTCTCCAGTGGCTCAGAAGCCTTCAAGGCAGTCGAGGCACTGTACGCTCTCTGGCAATCCGGTGGCAAGTCGGTCAATCTGTGGGACTGGCTGGAGGGTTTCCGCGCAGCCGTGGACGATGAAGATGACGACGACGAGGACGACGGAGATGTCTCTGGCGCATATGGAGCGGACGAGGACACTACACCTCAAAGGGGCAAGCGCAAGCGGAGGGCCGACGAGGAGAATGGACGGGACCCAGAGGAGGAAGCCGAAAAGCAAGCGCGGCAACATGCTACATTCATTCGCTTCGTCGAAGAGTCGCGTATGCTTGGACTTGTTCGCGCACGCGGAAGCCGTACCTCTAAACGCGCAGACGAAGTCGTGAAGGGAGTGTTGATGATTTGAGATACGTTTTGCAATGTATACAGCGTAATGTACATGACGCTTGGGGGCGACACGTTGCACAGCGGGGGCGTCTGTTGTTGTTGAATTCGCGTCCTACTGCTTCCTGGTTTCACACTCTTCTTCACACCATGACTCAGGATCAATAAACGTCATGCCAGATAACCCACACCCAGTGACTACGGTTGGTATACTGTCCGAGATAGGAGCGGGTAATGCATCCGAGGTGAGTACCGTTTGCAGCTTTGGCGATCTGACTTTGCAGGCTACCATGGCAGTTCGGTACCACAGTGCGTCCTTCCTGCTGTGACAATTCTCTGACCCTAGCTTGTCCACCCGGCCCGACCTTCATTCCTCCTCTTGACAAGATTCTTCTTGCGGCGCGCTCACATACCGGCGGTTCCAGTTTGCAGCGCGGAGACCTCATTGAGGTCGTAGGGCCGTCGGGATCCGGCAAGACAGTCCTATGCGCCTTCCTCCTTACCACGACACTCCTCCCACCCTTCCTGACCCTTCCCCTCGAGGCTCCCTTTCATGGCGTACCGAGTATAACGGTGCCCCTTGGAGGAAGAGGCATGCGTGCCGCCCTAGTATCGCCCGCAAACTCGAGATTGGTATTCCTGATGGACCGCGGTATGAGGGCTCATATTTCCTCGTGCATCAGTACGACTGCAGAGACACATGGCTTGCACTACGATACCAGGTCTCCTGCTGCAGAGAACGCAATCGACGTGGTGGTCAGCGAGGCTCTTGCACACCTCACCGTTCTCCGTCCTCGCCCTCGTGCCCTTGGGTGGGTCCTCGCTCTCCGTCGCCTGGCTTCTCCTCCGGAGCCCGTGCTTGGAACAACCCCGCCTGATGGTGGCCTCGATCTCGTCGTATGCGACGGCTTCTCGGATGGATTCTGGCCGGAACGGTGGTTCCATGAAGATCGTGGTGAGCGGCACCGTGATACCACGAGCGTACGCGGCCCCGAAGACATTGGTATGCGCGAGGTGTTGGCGGCCATCACGACGTTGCGCAAGAAGCTCGGCGCAATTATCGTGCTCACTGTTCAAGGATTGAGAGTAAGTTGCATTGGACATTATTGTTGTTGCTCATAATATAGCCGATCCCCAACACACCGTTCTTCAAACCTCACCTTCCTCCACCGTACCCCTCCCCTTTCACCCAGAGATACGACACACCGGAGGCTCCATCTGCCTGGCCACTCAACATCCAGCTGACCTTGCTTGGTCCTGCCAAGCCACTCCAATTTCCCGCCGAGACGACACTTGTAGAGGCACTTCGCACACGTAAATTACCAGCAGTTCAGGTCTGCGACGCTAGGGTACGCGTGCCCGGAGGCACTGGACAAGCTGGGACGATGGAAGGAGCGAGCTGGGCATTTGGGGTTTCCGAGGATGGTCTTGTACCATTCGCAGAGTAGAGCAGCTGTTTTTGGTGCATGTTTTTGTATACTACAGTGTATCTAGAGCTTATAACCAGCCTCCTGGACAGCCTTCTTGACGGCCTCGACGGCTCGGGCGTGCATCTCGCTGCCGGCAGCGACAATACCTTCGTTACCGGAGAGGGTGCGGCCAACAGAGAAGTCGAGGGGCTTGCCGTTCATGTCGGTGCAGACACCGCCCGACTCGGCAATGAGGAGGGAGCCCGAAGCGTGGTCCCAGATCTTCTCCTGGTAGTCCTTGCCGCCCGAGTACTTGGTGGGGATACGGAGGTAGACACCACCCTCGCCGCGGCCCAGGCAGGCGTACTTGGCTTGGCTGTCCATGCGGAGCGAGGGACGCTGCACACCGAGAATCTCACCGATACGGGCCTGAATGCCGTGGGCCGAGTGGCCAGCCTCGACCGACTCGAGGAAGGTGAGAGGGTTGGAAGCAGGAGGTGTCGGGGGGAGCGAAAGGCGAGTGTAGACCTCCGAGTCGAGGGGGCGCGACCAGCTGCCCTCGCCGCGGACAGCGATCATGAGCACACCCTTGCCGTTGGGGATAATCTCCTCGCCAATCTTGGCAGGCTCGGGGCCCAGGTTAGGGCAACCAATAACACCGAGCTCGACTTGGCCGTCGACAATGAGAGCAAGGCACACGGCGAACTGCTGGTGGCGGATGAAGCCAGAGGTGCCGTCGACCGGGTCCTGGGAATGTCAATAGATGAAAGTGGGACAGGGATCGGTCACACTTACAATGGTCCAGTAGCGGCCCTTGGTACCGCCAGGCGCCGAACCAGCATCAACTGCGCTCAGGATCCTACGAGTAAGTACAGCGAACAAATCGCATCGACAGTGACTGACTGTTCGGTGGTAAACTTGTCACCCTTGCCCCAGCCCTCGACACGGTCAAAGCCGTCGTTGACGAGGCCGACAACCTTGTTGCGGAGAGGTTCGTTGGCACGGAGCTCGGAGGTGTCCTCCTCACCAATGATGAGGTCAGTGGGGAAGTGGTCGAGGAGGTGAAGCGAGATGAGAGCCTGCGCCGAGAGGTCGGCAACTGGGAAGGTCAGTTCTGCACATTGTCTCTTGAGTTCTGTAGCGCACCAGTGACGGGCGACTTGTCCTTCTTGATAACCGTGTCCTTTGAGACGAGAGTGTCCTGCACTGACTTGGTGCTGGGGTTGGTTAGCTATGCACCCATCCATCCATCCACTCGAGCTCAGACGCCAGACTGGGGGGTTCGCACTCACAGGTAGCAGCCACGGAGGACGGAGAGGATGGCGAGATCGGCCTCGGGGCGAAGCTTGGTGAAGGGAAGCGCCATGTTGTGGATGCGACGATGGGACAGACGGGGGGGATGCAAGAAGGAGAGCCTGGGGAGAGTGGTCGTGACTCGAGGAAACAGCATGCACAAGTCATAAAGAGGCCGGCGTTCGCTGCCTGCCAATATCAAGGGCTGTGGGGTCTGAATTCGGGAATCTTTCCATGCCCCCGCAGCTTTCGTCATCGATTGATGCAACCTCCACTTGCGTTCCACTCCCCACACCTCGTTCCCACATCATGGCCTTCCCGGCACCACACGAGACGGTCCAGCTGCCCCTGCCCGACCCGGAAGCGTACCCCGGAGAACCTCGCGAGTATGCTCGCGCTTTGATGCAGCGCAAGGACGAGATTGAGGGGGAAATTGTACGGCTGTCACAAACACAACAACGTCATGACCACTAACAACACGTCCAGGATGCTCTCAAAGAGGTGCTCACATCAGTGCGTAGCTTGCGTTTGCATCGTCAATCGTGTCTGACTCTATACGTAGCATGGTGCATCCACAGACACTTCGCTTGTCGACCCCGAGGGGTACCCTCGCGGTGACATTGATGTCGTGAGTTGTTTTAAGCCTGCCTCGTCAACCTTTGACTGATGCCACGGCAAGTATGCCATCCGTCACGCTCGCAGTGCTCTCGCACGGCTCTACAACGATCGCACAGAAGTGACCCGGAGACTGGCCACCGCTCTGGAAGCGGCGTTTTCATCCCCCGACGACTCGTCTTCGTTCCAGGCTCCTTCTGCTCAAGCTGCGGCTCAAACACCACCTTCCTCGGCGTCCTCCACTTCGCGCCCTGCGGTCAACGGCCATCATGACTCGTCGCTGAACCTCCCCGACACCTGGCCAGACCGTGCAGTTGCACGCGTCAACTCCGTGGCTCCCAGCAGCCCGGCTGCGGCGGCTGGATTGGAGGCCAGTGACCTCATCTACTCGTTTTCGGGCATCACCGCCAGCAATGCCAATGCGATGCAAGCTATTGGATCTACCGTGGCTGCCTCCGAGGGTGTGAGTCTAAATCCCAGTCTCTGCTGCACTAGGCCCCACCCCTCTCTCGCTGACAAACTTTGCAGCAGCCTCTGACGTTGCTCGTTACTCGGGCATCGGAACGCAAGATGCTCCGCCTCACTCCTCGGAGTGGTTGGGGAGGACGGGGCTTGCTTGGCTGCCATATCCTTCCCGTATAGAATACACCCCCCCCCCCCCGCCCCCCCAACCAAGAAAACAACAACAACATGTGCAATAGAACACCATTTATCAGTGACATGCTTGCATATGCATGTTGATAGCTATCCATCTAGACGAGACGCTTGCCGCCGTCCTCGACAGGGCGTGCAATGACATCGCGGGGCTTCTTGTCGTCCTTCTTGACAGGAACCTCTTCCTTGCCCACAGGCTTGATCTCCTGCTTAGCCTCCTGCTTGGCCTCAGTCTTGGGGACCTCGGCGACGGCCACCGGTGCAATCACCACCTCGACGGGGGCCGCCACAACCTCGGCAACAACAGGCTCCGCCGCAGGGACGGGAACAACAATCTCGGCGATGGGCTTCTGCTCAATGACTGTGGCAATTTTCTGGACCTGAACAGGCTCAGGAGTAGGAGCAACGGACTGAGCCGCAGCCTTGACCTCGGCAACCTTGGCACGGGCAGCCTCCTTGACGTCCTCGACACGCTCCTGGCTAATACGGACGGCCTCGCCGACCTTGAGGCCAGTGGCCGACTCGACGCCGTCAACGGCCTTTGAGGTCCACTGACGAGCCTCATCACCAGCTCCGCGGAGCTTGTCAACGCCCATGTGCCAGTGAAGCTCGAGAGCCTGGTTGAAGTGGTCGTGACGGGCCGCAAACTCGGGGCAGTGCTTGTCCTCAACGTCCGAAATGTACTTGCGGAGGTTGTGGGCAGTCTTGGGCAGGAAGTAGGGGAGGGCGGCAGTCGCAAAGATGGGAGGGGCAAGGAAGCGAACGGGGAACGAGCGAGTGCGCGAGAGCACAGATCCAGTAAGGCCGGCGACAAGCACGTAGATGATGCCGGGAGTCAAAGACTCGTCCGTGGGGACAATCTGCTTCACCTCGTCTGCCATCGTCAGCACAACACTTTACACATTGCCACAAGTGGGGCCAACGACAACAACAAAAAGCACCAACAGAGACTCACGCTCAACATTGCGCTCAAAGCCGATCCAGCTTGACACACCGCTCTCAACCACAGAGCGCACACCGCCAAAGGCGCTCGTAGTGGCCTCACGAGCGGCGGTAATGTACTCGACAAGAGGGTTCTCAACGACAACCAGCTGCACGGTGTGCGCGTCGTCCGGGGAAGTATAGATGGGGAGCTGCGAATAGTCAGTATAATCTACTGTATGGCGTTGACAGTAGAGTTGACACCGAGCTGGCAAACCAAGGTGCAAACCAGGTCGCTATCAACTGGTTTGTTGTCTCGCCGGTGTGTGCCGCCTCACCTTGTTTCCGTTGGCAGCGTGACCGGGACGGACCTGCGAGGCAGACGAGCCGTCGTCGGCCATAGCAGTGGTAGCGCTGGCTGCAAGTGCGGCTCCGAAGGCGACGGAGGGGGCAATTGATGCCCGGAAGACACGCTGGAAGGCCGCCATTTTGGGTAGAGAGTCTAGAGGACGAGCAGGCCGAGTTATCCTCCCTCTTGTGCAACATGGCCAAGTGAGCGCCGCGGGTCACCACCGGAACCGCTCGCAGTGGAGGCACGCGCGTACTCCCTGGCGGGCGGGCGGGCGGGTCGGTATTACGGCTTTATCGGCGAGTGGCGTCCACTTTCTAATCACACGTTGTATATGGATTACAATGGCACGGCTTGGTGTGGCACTAATACCAGCAACATGGCTAACGGGATAACTTCGGACATCTTACATCTCCCTATCGAGATTAAACAACTTGGGTACTGTACGTGGTAGCGCGCGCGTGTGTGTATTACCCTCTTATTACCCTCTCTCCGTCGTCGAGAGATCGCCATGTGGCCGTAGAACACGGATGGCGGATGGCCGCTAAAATATCGCCAGGCGACCGGTCAGTCGAGAACGAACATTGCGTTGATTTTAGGACGATCGTCGAGTAGTCATAGTAAGTTTACCTGGTCGCACGGGGGCACTCTTCCGCCGTGTTCCTGGGGCCGGCGTCGCGGGAGCGATATCTTTCGTGGCCGCAGAACTGCTCTTGCGCCGCCGCTTGCGAGTCGTGTCTGTGGGGCCTGCGTCCTCCGTCATGGGCTCGGGCTGAGGCTGTTTCACCCCACCGAGTCCAACTGGAGGCACACCGCCCTTGGCCATGAAGGCAATTCCCAGTCGTTGAAGAGGGTCCTCTGTGTCAAACTTGGCGGGGAGGAAAACGATGGGTAATCCCAGGTTTGGTAGTGGCAAGTGGAAAGCCTTACGATGATCAGCCTTGTTCACAGGCATGTATAGCGCCTGATACTCACAACTCCTTCTGCGTGGAGGCCCTGTACCATGGCGACAAAATCAGTCATGTCCGGGTCGTTGCAGAGCACCATGCCCATCGTAACAGGAAGAAGGCCCTCCCGAGCAAGAGTCGACACAGGAATCATTGTGGCTGTGGCGGTCTCGGTCAACACTGGCCCGGCTGGGTACGACAAGCAGTCGCCCCAACTATGAGACTGCCTGTAGCTGTCAGTAACATGTACGTAAATATCACCGTTGCACTTACCAAAGATGGTCAGACCCTTGCTCGCCAACAATTAGGATGTTGAATGTACCACCTCCTCGTCCACGGACGGATAGGTCTCCTTTCCACACGCCAACCTTGTCCTTTTGCAGGTCGCGGAACGTGGGAGAGAAAAACATGCACATGGGGGGCGGAGGAATGAATGGGACAATGGGAAGGTCGAGCTGTTTCGGAGCCTGTTGCCGCGAACGGAACGAGGCAGCAGTCTTTGCCACCGGTCTCACTGTGGGTTGCTTTTCAAGGTCTTGTGGTGTATCGGATGGAAGAGGAACAAGGGGTATAGTGGTGCTTGCTGAAGTGACAGAAAACATGGATGCCGCCGAGACAAATGGGGACGACGTTCTCGAGCCCACCATCTGGTCGACCGGCGACTCGGAACTGAACGTCGAGCTTTCGCTGCCGTTGCGCTCTTTATCAGGGTCACCCGCGAATTCGGTTCCCAAGTGGTCGCTCTCATGGTCCTCGAGGCGCGTTTGCAGCCATTCGGGACAATCAACAGAGGCGTTGGCTTCATTCTCCCTCAATTCGTTGGTGTCCTCTATTTGTGCGAGGATTTCGTCGATGCCATTCAGTCCGTCACCCTCAGCTCGAGAAACTGGGCGGGAGGAGCCTTCGGCTGGGTCAGACAGGCCTATAGGTGGCAGACCAAGTGCTGGAGAAAATGGTCGACGAGGGGTGAGTCCAGACCCAGAGGCCAGTGTGGTCCCAAGTGAGGGCCATTCCGAGCCGGCGTTCGGTGTGAGGGTCGTCCACTGCGAGATATCTGCCTCAGCCATGCCCTTGGTGGGTGTCCATGGTCCGTACACCTGCCCGTCCTGGAAAGCGTCGGTAGCCCGTGGCGCAATCGAGGCAACATAGGATGAAAGAAGACCAGCAAAGATAACGGATTCGTGGGGGCGAAGAGCGATGTTGTAGAGGGCTTGTAACGCCAGTGACGCCTCGGCCGAGGGATGTGCGACTCGACGGGGAGAGTTGAGTGAAAGCGAGAGTGACATCAGGACATTTGGCCATAGACATTGGTTGGAGACCTGCAGTGTCTGTCAGCCGAGTGTCCGGTGCGTTTGGCAAGGAGAACTCACGAGCGCGGGCCCACCTCGCTTCCAGACTTCGGACAGGAGGCGAGCGGCGCTGACAGGCCCGACACCCTCCACGTGAAACGATGCGCTCAGTAAGGACCTCCAGACGAGATCCGAACTGCTGTCCAAAGGTTGCGACTTTGGCGTGGCAGCTCTGGCCGGAATGGTGGAAGTCGGTTTCTCGTCGGAACGATCCGACTGGGGGGCTGAGGATAGCTTCGAGTTGGCTGTGGAGGGACCTGTTGAGGGACCTGTTGAGGGACCTGTTGAGGACAGACTGTCCACGGGGGAGGGTTCGACCTCAAAGTTGAGCAGGCTCTCCCAGACACCAGCGTTGGGCGTGAGGCCGGCGCTTACACCAATCTCATTGCCGAAGCCAGATCCAGCATCTAGCTGGAAGCCGCCGAGAGTCGACGGCTTTGGGGTCCCACCCATCACCCACGGAAAGGCATCGGCGCCGGTAGATGAGGACCCTTCAGCAGGTGGGAAGGAGTAGCGACGACGGTTCAGTGAGTTGCGCAGCGAGGCAACCTGGGGTGGTGCAAGGGCGACCAGGGGTAGAGGGGATGGTGATAGCAAGGGAGTGGCTGTGAGGGGTGGCTGTGAGAGTGGGTGAGGGCCGCTTTGGCTCTGGGTGCTTCGCACGGGGCTCATGCGAGGTGGGGAGAGGGCAGCGGCAAGACGAGACTGCAAAGAGTCAGCTGGGCAGCAGCGAAAACAAGCAGTGTGTGTGTGTGTGGGTGTGTGTGGGTGTGGGTGTGAGTGAGTATGGGAAGAAGGGCGGAGACGGCAGGGTGGTGGTGGTGGGGTGGTCTTGTGTTGCCCCTTGCAGGCCGAACCGAGGGCGCCGCGGTCACGCCGATGTGCCCTGTGCGCCTGTGCGGGGTGCGTCGATCTCACCAGACGCACGCATGTATGTACAGTACACACACAGAATGTGTCTCCCCGACGGGGGCGTCGCGATGGATGGGTGGATGGGTGCATATGCGGGGGGCGCGGGGGGGGGGGGGGGGGATAGGTGGACACATGGACACATGATGGACAGACTACTCACGTCAGGAAGCCGTCGTGCTCTGTCGGGCGATGAGCTGGCGGACATGCTGTGGACAGGCGGGTCAGTTATGGAGTGCTGGGTGTGTGAGTACTCGAGCACACAGACGCACGAGTAAGGGTCTCTGGGACCATCAGGCTGCCTGACAGGCCCGTGAACAGCAGGAGCCATGGCCCGGGGAAAAAAAGGGAGAGCAGAGGGGAGGGGAGGGAGGGTCTTGTCGGCGGACACAGGACAACAACAAACGACGATCGAGGACAGAGCTGGTCGGACAGCCACCGTCTGTTATCAAAGGACGACTGTGGATCGGGATAGCGCTTGTGACCTATGGAAGCGCCTGGCGGGAATCTGCTGGAGGCAGTATACTGAGCAGACACTGGATGCTGGATGCTGGACGTCGAAAGCTTTCGTGTGTGAGGAAGTGGGTTGTAGATTGGGTGGGGAAGGGGAGGAGGACCCGGGGGAACAATGAGACGGCGTTGGGTGGCGTGTCTTGTGGTTTGGTGGAGGTATGGGGGGATGCTGTGTGTGTGTATGTGTGTGTGTGTGTATGTGTGTGTGTGTGTGTGTGTGTGTGTGTGTATATGGCCAGCAGGCCAGCAGCGAGGGAGAGAGAGAGAGAGAGAGAGAGAGATTAAAAGAGGGTGGGAGTGGACGGCAAGAGGAGGCGAGAGGAGGCCGAGAGAGCCGGCGAGAGCGAGAGATGTACTGTGTGGGTGGGTGGGGGGTTTGCCCGCGAGATCTCTCCGTCTGTGCATCTTTGTACTCTGTGCATATGGGCATCTCTCTCTGTACCTCCGTCTAGACGCAGAGCCAGCTCCAGGCCACACAAGCGCGCCCCAGGTACACACCCACACAGAGTGTGTGCGAAAACGGGTGTGGACACAGAGACACACACCTCTCTCTCTCGGCGGCGGGCCTGCAGAACGGCGTATACGGCGCAGTGGTCGCGGCCCCGCGCCCTCTGTTCCCTCTGTGTTGCCCTCTGCGACCTCTGGGTCTCTGCGCCTCTGCCGCAGCGGGTTGCCCGCGCGCTGCCATGCGGCAATAAAGCCCCCGCGGGCCCACCCAAGTGTCTCCCGTGCCTGGTCTTTTGGGTGAGCAGCCGCCCATAATCGCTACCGCCCCGCGCTCCCCCGAGTACGTACACGGCTCCAACTCTTGTTCCGGTGCGTCATATGTTACGTGTGGAACCAACTCTCTCTCAGGATCTCAGTACTCTGCATGTATATGCAGCCCCACACATCATGCATCGCGCATCATGCACAACTGCACCACGCGTGCCAAGCCCCAGCCCCACCCATGCGCACCACCCCTTGTCATGCCACAGACCACAGAGATAGCACGACGTGTGTTCATTGCCGACGCATCATCAAACCTTGCGGCTCTAGGGATGCCGTTGCCTTTTTCGCTCACGCGTAACAGGACAAAAACAGCAGCGACGCAGCAGAAAATAGTCGCTGTCGCCGGCCCGCCGGCCCACGCTCGTCCCCCAGTCGCCAGCTACGACACTTTGCGTAACTGGCAACTGGGGCCTCATGCTACATCGCTATGACGGTGTTTTGTGTCAGCACCACCACCGATCCCGAATCGTTCGGTCGGTGCACCGCACACGCAAGCGCCTGCAAGTAGTATGTGAGTGGCCAAAAACAAAACAAAACTAAAACAAACAGAAAGACAGCAGCGGTGCAAAGTGCGCAAAGCACAGGCATGCAGTGATACGGATGTGAGGAAGGACAAACATGTTGGAGCAACAGGTGGCGAACAACGGCTTGGGGGGTCAGTAATGCCACAGTGCCGGAGATATAACCAAATGCCGACTGGGTGGTCGCTGGACTTTTGGGTCTCTGGCCGCTGGCTGCGTCCTGCCGGCACCACGACGAACAGCATCGACGAGCTCGACAGCGACCCAGCGAGAGCATCCACAAACCACTCCCAAAAAGGCTTTGACGCAGCGCGCCCGGCCTACTTGGACATCCTCCCTCCTCCCCTCTCCCACACACCACCCTCACCCTCCCGCCGCCTTCCAATCTACCCCAAAATGGCCGACCCGACCGCATTCTACGAGCCTGAAGAGGACGAGCTTCTTTCGTCCCTTGCCGTCCCCCAGTACGGTGGCGAAGGTGGCTACGACGAGGAGAGCTACCACAGGATCCAGGAGCTTGAGCAGAACGCCTACGCCCAGCAGCTTGCCGCTGCCGAGCAGGAGCAGGCCCAGGCCCTCGAGCAGGTGCCCGAAGATGTCAAGCGCGTACGTTGAACATGAGACGCGATGGCTTTGATGGCGCGCGTTTTGTTTTTTAAAAAATATCTGTGGTGCGCACACGGCAGAGGTGTACTGACGCCCCTGCAGTTCCTTGTGCTCTTCCACCAGGCCATCCTGGAGAACGACCTTCCTGCCATCACCAACATGTACGAGAGCGGCTGGAACAAGCTCACTCAGGTGGGTGGCAATATCGATGAACACAGGGAATGTTGCGTGTCACCAACTAACTTCATCAGGCTCACTACCAGCAGGCCGAGTGGCCCGAGGCTGAGCTGATTGCTCCCCTCGTCCAGAACGACCAGGTCTTCCTTACCCTTTACCGCGAGGTCAGTTTGAGAAACAACATCAAGCCCAAATGTCATTTGTGCTGACTTGCCTTTCAGCTCTACTTCCGTCACGTCTACGCGCGTCTCCAGCCTACCATTGACGACCGCTTCCAGTCGTACGAGAACATTTGCGAGCTGTTCAACTACCTCCTCAACTCGGACGGCCCCGTTCCCCTCGACCTGCCCATCCAGTGGCTCTGGGACATGCTTGACGAGTTTGTGTACCAGTTCCAGTCGTTCGCCCAGTGGCGTGCCAACCCCAAGAACAAGTCGGAGGACGAGCTCGACATGCTCGCCGAGGCGTCGCAGATCTGGTCGTGCTACTCGGTCCTCAACGTCCTCTACTCGCTTGTCCAGAAGTCGCAGATCAACGAGCAGCTCCGTGCTGAGAAGGAGGGCAAGAGCGCCGAGGAGGTTGCCGACATTGCTGGCCAGTACGGCTCCAAGCCTCTGTACCGCAACCTCGGTTACTTCTCGCTCATCTGCCTGCTCCGCGTCCACGTTCTCCTGGGCGACCCTACCCTCGCCCTCCAGACCATGGAGAACGTCGAGCTGGGTGGCGGTGCCTTCCTCACTCGCATCACTGCCTGCCATGTGACCACCTACTACCACGTCGGCTGTGCCTACATGGCTCTCGGCCGCTGGCCCGACGCGATCAAGACCTTTGTCTCGGTCCTGATCTTCTTCCTCCGCATGAAGCAGTACCACACCAGGAGTTACCAGTACGGTTCGATCTCCAAGCAGTCGGAGCGCATGTACGCCCTCCTCGCCATCTGCACCACTCTCTCGCCCGGCCCTTCGGACGACAGTATCATGACTATCGTCAAGGAGCACTACGGTGACCAACTCACCACGCTCCAGCGTGGTGGTGATGAGGCCCTCGAGGTGTTCAAGGAGCTCTTCCTCCAGGCTTGCCCCAAGTACCTCTCCGTCAACCCCCCTCCCTACGAGGACACCGAGGCTCTCCAGACTTGGATGTCCAACCCTCCTCCCGACGCTGTCCAGCGCCACCTCGAGCTCTTCCTTTCTGACGTTCTCGCCATCCGCGGTGTGTCCAATGTCCGCAACCTGCTCAAGCTCTACACGTCGATCGACGCTGCTAAGCTTGCGGCCTTCCTCGACACCTCGGCTTCCGGCGCCGATGCCGAAGAGGATGTCCTCCAGCAGCTCATGGTTCTCAAGGCTGCCAGCCGCACCTACGGCAAGAGCCAGAACGACGGTAGCCTTCTTGACGGTGACCGCATCGTCACCAACAACCTCGACTTCAGGATCGACGGGGTAAGTCATAATATTTGCCCCCCCCCCCCCCCCCCCCCCCCTAAAAAAAATCCTTGACTTTACTGACATTGCAGGCCATGGTCCACGTTGAGGAGACCACCTCCCACCGTCGTTACGCGGGCTTCTTCATCCGCAACGCCGAGCACGCCCAGCGTGTGTTCAACACCATTCACTCGTCGCCTCTTCCTTCCCAGCGTCGCCAGGGCGCGGCTGCTGACAAGGAGGGCAAGCAGGATGAGAAGAAGACTGAGCGGAAACCCCAGGCCTGGGCTCCCAAGTCCCGACAGGTGCGAGTGGCCGCCTAGACGGCATATAACGAGTAGTTTCTATGCATTGGCCTGTAGATGATTGCGCTTTGTGTGTTGCTGTGTGCATGTGTGCCAAAGGTGGTTCAGGAAATGTGGCTCCCGTCGCTGCCATTGTTCGCCCGGAGACTCCGTTGGATGCGCTATTCCACTGTAACCACGCAATCAGGAAGCGATCCACTGCCAAGATGGGCAACCAAGCTAACCAAGCCGAATATTACCATTCTCTCTTCCAGTCACTTTAACACTTTCCGACTCGGGCAGGAGAGATAGGAAGGCATTTTGCACACACCGGGATTCAAGCTGTCCTCTTTCCATTCCAATGACACTTTTGAGCTTGGCGAGGTGTCTTTTGAGCTGCTCCTTTTCCAACGATATGGCGGTCGTGCCTGGGATTGCGGCAAACTTCGGCAGGAGTTGGCCTCTGGCAGCCGCAGAAAGTGGGCAAATCACTGCAGGAGAAGGCCGACCGGCATGTCGCTGCATGTCTCGGCCCTCGGAGACTCCATGGAGGCTATCTCCCAACGTCGGCACATAAATATCAAGCGTCCCGCTCGTCTTCACCCTTCTCCCATCTACTCATCATCCCCACTCACACGCGCACACTCATCACCATGTCGCAGAAGGTTGTCATTGTCGGCTCTGGTAAGCCTTATTACACCTGACGTGCTCCCAACACCTTTAAACTGGAGTTGGAGTTCAACGGAGACTCCGATGGACATGAAAACTCACATGAACGTAGGCGTGTTTGGCATGTCCACTGCCCTCTGGATGCTCGAGGAACGCCCGGGCAAGTACAACGTTACCATTCTTGAGAAGTGCGAGACTGTCCCCGCCCCTGATGCTGCGTCGACGGGTGAGTGGTGTTTATCTTTTATGTCGTTTTCTGTGGCGGTCGGCTGACTCGCAGACATCAACAAGGTGCGATCCACTCCATCAGCCGATCCGGTGTCCCTTTTAGTTACTTGCTAACAGTCAGATTGTCCGTGCTGGTGACTACGAGGACCCTGCCCTTGCCAAGCTCTCTGTCGATGCTGTCAAGTTCTGGAAGCGTCCAGACTGGGAGGGCACGTACCACGAGTAAGTGGACTCGAAATGGAGTGACTCGAAGTGGAGTGAACCATGAGCTGACAACTACCAAGGTCTGGTGTCATGTGTCTCGCCGGTGACGACCCTGCCGGCCGTGCGTACGTCGACGGCTCGATGAATAACTGTATCGCCATGGACCTGGGTCCCACTCGCATCGAGACCCCTGAGGAGATCAAGAAGCACTTCCCCGCCGGCCTCAAGACCGGTGCCTTCCCCCAGCGAACCGGCTACTTCAACAAGCAGGGTGGTTGGGCCGAGGCTGCTCGAGCCATCGAGGTTGGCCACAAGCGCATTCTCGCCGCGGGTGGTGTTATTCGTGGCGGCTGTGAGGCCGTCTCGTTCCAGAAGACTGGCAAGAAGGTCACTGGCGTCGTCCTCAAGAGCGGCGAGGTGGTCACTGCCGACCTCGTCCTTGTTGCCGCCGGCGCTTGGACTCCTTCCCTTCTTGCCTCTCCCTCTATTAGCTGCTTCCTGCCCCCCGTTGTCGCTACTGGCCAGGTCGTTGCCATGATCAAGCTCACTCCCGAGGAGTACAACATCCAGACTCAGGCCCCCGTCGTTTTCAACCTCGACGATGGCTACTACATCTTCCCTCCCACCAAGGACCGTATTGTGAAGATGGCCATCCACGGTGCTGGCTACACCAACACTGTTGCCCACGGCGGCAAGGTTTCTGTCCCCCGCACCAAGCTCACCCCCGGTGCTGAGAACGGCGCCATCCCTGTTGAAGCTGTGCGCAAGATCCGTCAGCACCTTGCCGACCACTACCCCGAGCTTGCCAAGAAGCCTTTCGTCGACACCCGTCTCTGCTGGTACTGCGACACTGTCACTGGTGACTGGCTCATCGACTACCACCCCGATTACGAGAACCTCGTGATTGCTACCGGCGGTTCGGGCCACGCCTTCAAGTTTGCGCCCAACATCGGCCGCGAGATCCTGGCCATTATCGAGCGCAACGGTGACGCCGAGTTCCGTGACCGTTTCTCGTTCTCACCCTCGGAGAACGTCGGTGCCGACGTTCGCAACGGTGTCCGCAAGGAGATCGTCGTGAACGACCTTGCCACCACCACTGACCTCCTTCCTGGTGCTGGCCGCACGGCCGGTCGCCTCTAAGGCAGCGTGGGTACAAGGAGATCAAAATTACAACAACATAGATGGCCAACAATAGGTCAAGGGTGTAAGCGATAGCATCATGAGAGATTACGGATGAGGTTGATATTTGTTTGTTTGTTTTTCGGCGCTTGGGAACAATGCATATCGGATGCCGAATAAATATATGTGGCGCAGTACGGATGATCCCAACACAATGCCAACATGATATGTACCAACATAACGCAACGAGGCGACGACGTGACGTTGTGACCGCGGTCAACCGATCACCGACCACCGTGGCCACCGACCAGCCCGAAATGGATTACCCCGGCCGACTGTCACATGCCGAATTCCCGTCCCTGCCCTGTACGCCTGTGCCTCTGTGCACCTGTGCCTCGCGGGTGACGTTTTGCCGGTTAACATCGTAACACGATCACAGTCGGGCTTTATTTACCTTGTCGACTCTTTTTCCACAACGACAGACACTCCCCACACTGTACACTCTCCATTCACCACGCTTTTGCGCACAAGATGGGCGACTTGACTACCCCCACTGAACCCCGTGCAGGCCTCATGGGCTGGCTTCGCTTCTACGGCTCAACAGTGATGTACTCCGGCCTCCCTCTCTTCTTCTGGAATCGCCCAGCATGGACCGAAAAGGACATGGTGGACCAGTCGGGCAAGGTGGATATGGATACTCCAGCAGTGAGCGAGGCGCTGACCCCCAGGTTGTCTTGATCACCGGCGGCAACTCTGGCACCGGCTACGCGACGGCAAAGGCCTATTACGACCACGGTGCCAAGGTGTACATCGCCTGCCGTTCCGCTGACCGTGCAAAGGCGGCCATTGATGACATCAAGAAGGGCGGCAGCGTCACACTCCAGGGCAAGATGGTATACCAGCCCACAGTGGAGAACAGCAAGACGGGCTCTGTCGAGTACATCCAACTCGACCTCGCCGACCTCACCAGTGTTGAGCAGTGTGCAGCCGAGTTCCTCTCGCGTGAGGAGCGCCTCGACATTCTCTTTGCCAACGCCGGCATAATGGCACTGTATGTGACGTAGCTTGGCTTGGCTAACCCACCAGTCCCCCGGGACAGTACACCAAGCAGGGCTACTCGATGCAGTGGGGCACAAATGTGAGTGGGCGTGTATGGTATGTGATGCCGGTCGGTGGTTGACAACGTAAAGGTATTGGGTCACCAGCGCCTTATCTCGCTCCTTCTTCCCGTCCTGCAGGCCACATCAAGGGCAAACCCCACCGCTCCCTCGCGATTGATTACCCTCGCTTCGGCTGCCCATTCAACTGCCCCTACTGGTGGCGTGGACTACGAGTCGCTTAAGAAGGGTGGCAAGGTCCTCGAGCGGTGGATCGAGTACGGCGAGAGCAAGTGGGGTGACATTGCTCTGGCAAAGTGGGTTGATGCTCACCATGGCCCCAAGTCTGGCTCTACTGGCGGTGAAGTTCTGGCATGTGCAGTTCACCCAGGTCTGGTGTCCACACCCCTCTATACCCATGTCTCCGCCGCCAGTCTCCTGCCATACCTCCCTTGGGTCCACGCTATGATCAACGTTACAGCCAAGGACGGAGCTCTCGCTCAGCTTTGGGCGGCTGAAGTTCCTGTCCACAAGGCCCGCGAGCTGTCGGGTGGATATGTTGCACCATACGAGTCCAAGATTACGCACCGCCCAGACCTCACCGTCGAGGCGGCCGAGAAGGTGTGGGAGTGGTGTGAGCAGCAAGCCCGCCGCACCGATTAGACGGTTAGATTACGACGCATATTGCACAGAGAATGGTGACCAACAATTGGAGATGAGCAGTGACAATGCATACAATACAGAACGGTTTACATCCCTCTGCTATCTCAAGTGTGCAGCGCAACAATCGCGCGAATCCTCTCAGCGAGAACGGTGAATGCCGCCTCTGCTTGCTCCAGACCCTCGTCTGTATTTTCGTCCGGCACATTGCCTAGTGCAACGTCAGTACACTGCTAAGACGACGGTATGACTCACTTTCTGGAACTTCAAGTGTGAACGAGGGGGCATATGGCTCAAGGTGGACATGGTCTGGGACCTCTGTGGCCGGACGTAGGTCGCGTCCAACGAGTTTGGCACTTGCGAGCGCCCACGCCCGCGCTGCGTTTGCGTGAACGTAGCCACCACCACCCACCACACACGTTGGGCGTCCCCAGGCCTTGACCTGTTCGACAACCCAGGTGGTGCTGCCGTCTCCAGACACGTTCCAAGCGCCGTATTGCCCTATGGGATCGCCTGGTAGACCGTCTACGCCGAGCTGAAGAAGAACATAGTCTGGATTCCATGCCGCAGTCACCTTTTCCACGCAGTGCCAGATTCGACGATATGTTGAGGCATGTGCGTACGGCGCAAGAGGTAGTGAGAGGCCGAAAGGATGTGGAGTGTCCGGCGGTGTCAACCCAGGTGCACCAGGAGGGAAGAAGATGCGTGACGAGTGATGGACGCTCAGTGTTAGAACTTGAGGTGGTCTTGGCCGGCCCCTCAGGGGATATGGAAAGTGGGTTGGGGACGCAAACGCTTGGGCAACACCGTCACCGTAATGCAGGTCCATGTCAAGATAGAGGATGCGAGGTCGTCGCTGCCGTGCTGGGGTTGGACGGTGACTACTGTCGTCCTCGGTATGTGTTGGAGGTGGTCTCGGGATACCTTCGCGTGAAAGGAGGAGTATGCCCAGGACAACATCTGCGACATAGCAGAACCCGCTCGCCTTTGCCCTCAACGCGTGATGTCGGCCACCGTCCCAACAATAGCAATATCTGCGTCCCCTCGCACTAACGCTCGACACGCCGTCAGTGTAGCAGCGGCCACTAGACGGGCATATGTCGGGAGTTCGGTAAACGGCGGGCAGTCCTGAGACAGTTAGATGAGGTGAAATGAGGTGACTCACGTAGTGTAGGCCAAGCGACTCGACTTTGCGTCGCTTTGTTTCTCTCCCAGACCCCGTGTCAGACCCACTGTCGTTGTCCGAGTTGGATGACGCATTGTAGTCTTCCTCTTCAGTGCGGTCTCGCAGGAGGTATTCTGACACCTGTCAGGTATAGGCTTTGACGTACTTGTCATTTTCTTTTACTCACCAACATAGCGCGCGTCATGGTATCGCCTTAGTTCAGCTTCAGTCGCTAGTGTTGGCTCCGGAGAAACGAGGCAGGCAGACATGGTTGTGTCTGGGGAGCACTCTGGCGATTCCACGGTCGACACGCTTCGTACCAGGCCAAGCGCATGCACGAGACCATGTACCAGCGATGATCGGCCCAGGTTTGCTGGAAGCTGATCAGCACAAGCCTGAAGCTCAGCTGACCAAATGTAGGCAACCCTGGTCATGGGATGAAGGTGAAATGCACAGTGATCAGTGATGAAATCAACCGCGGGCCTGTGTTGTGGTACGCTGTCGACGTTCCGAGTGGAGGTGGAATCAGGGTCCGTGGTTCCGGAACACAATTAACTTGTCTTCTCTTGACTCCCTCTGATCCTCGGAAGGGTGCTTATGAACCCTTGTATGCGAGCTCGCATATGTGAACATTACTCTATGCTATGGAGTGGTGACAACTACAATACTTACATCTATGCGCTTCATCTAGTCCGCTTCGGCTCTCCGTTCTACTTCACGCCAGCGCTCCAGCTCAACACGCATAGCTTCAACCCTTTCTTCGGAAGTGGGGTGTCTCATCCACGACCACAATTTGAATAGCGACCACCACGGCTCGGGTTCACTTTGAATCTCTTGAAGGCTGGCCATCGAGTCGGCAAAGTTATCGACAGCAGCCTGGGGATCAAAGCCAGCGTGGGTCAAAAGACGGAGAGCGGCAAAGTCGGCCTCGAACTCGTGCTTGAATTCGAAACCGATATGTCCATATCGATTGGATAGCTCTTCAGTGCCCACGCGCCCAATATTTGCCAAAGCATCATTGACGGTGGGACCGAGGAACAAGCTAAAGTTGTCAGTAACAATAATTTAGCGATACGCACGTGAATGGCCAAATGAATGCGCGGACCAGATCCATGGATAAGCCGACAACGGAAGGCCAAAGCACTTGCTGGTGGGAGAGAGTTTCAAGGTGGTGGCTAAGAAGAAGGTGAGCCATTTCATGGGCGATGACGATGGCCAGGTGCAATGTCTGCTCATGCGTGGGCATTGGGGGGGCAACGATGGGACGAGGTGGAGAGCCAGAGAAGAGGCTGGCGAAGATACCTTGAGGCTGCGGTGGTGGGGATGGCTCAGCTGGGGGAGCCCCTCGACGAAGGATGTCATCGAGGAGACCAGTGAAGATGACGATGCCTCCTGCCCCCTTGCCACCAAAGCCATACGAAAAGGCATTCTTGTCTGGCGCTTCCATAATCATGATGTTGTAAGGGGGGCCGAGTTCCAGATGCTCAGTTCCAGACTCCCGGTCGCCCCCGGGCAGCGCGGCATGCAACCGGGCAGCTGCACGGGCACGAGGTTTGAGAGGATACTCTGATGGAGGGGGCCAGAGGCCCACGAATCCAATGGGTCGCGTGTCATCGTCATTCTCGACGCGTTCGACTGCGGCGATAGTACCGGACTCTATTCTTCGAAGCGTTGACTGTACCCACTGCCAACGCCAGTCTGACAACGGGACGATTGGTGGAGCAGGATGTTCAGGAGTGGTCAGGAGGTTGATGACACTTTTAAACCAGTTTGGGCCCTCGAGGCTCGTAGAAATGGCGTCTTCCTCATCGGCCGTGAGAAGAATCAAACGCCATCGTCCTGTGAGCGGCACGCGCTCTAAACCTGTGGCCCAAACGAGCAGCAGGAGAATGATCGGGATGCCGACTAGGGTGGCCACGAGCCAACGGGCGACGCGAAGACGGTCCTTGAACGTTTGAAGGCTCGACCAGTATCGTCGCAGCGCATCCACTTGGCCCTGCTCGGCTGGTGACAGTTCGTGATAGTACCGCACCGATGCCGGTGGGAGGTTGGGAAGCCAGAAGAATGCACGGTGGATCCGGCTTTCTTGGCGCTTTTCCCATTTGGCGTACGCATAGGTATCGTCCTCGTCAGGCTTTTCCTGTTCACCTCTGCCTCGCCACCCCTTGGGCATTGGCCAGGAATACGCGGTGCGCCCGTCTGGCGACACTAGGCCGTCGTTTGGTGCCGCCGGTGCGTTGACGAGGGACGCCGCCTCTTCATGCGTGAGACGCACTCCCCTCTCGCCATCGCACCACATCTTCCAAAACTCTTCCGCATCCGGGGATGCTGATGGGACTTGCTTGTCTTGAGATAGCCAGGCGACACCGCGTACGAGTTTAAACGTGCCGAGGATGCCGATGGGGAAGAATGAAATGAGGATACGCGACAATCCAGTAGCTAGAGTCAAAATGGAACCACCCTGGTGTGTTAGCAAAGAAAACGGGGGCACTGCCATACCTTGAGAAGCGCTCCTAGTGCAGGGAGAAGCGGTAGCGCATCTCGACGAGATGTGGCGTGGAAGTGACGGATATGTCCCAGGCGATGAGCAGTGGCGACATCGAAGCGAGGACGACGCGGTGACGGACGAGTGATCGAAATGGTGAGGAGCTGTTGATCGAAGGAGGGTGCGTCCCATCGTGACTTTCCCTTGCCCGTGTAGGCTGTATGTTGTTCTGGAAGACATGGAGTGGGGCGACTCAGTGCAGTACCCGGCACGATATGTGTGGAATAGGATGAGGACGTAACGGCGGGGTTGAAAGGAAGGGGAGGAAGAAGGAGGCGGCGGCGGCTGGCGGGGTGGAGATGCACTCGCAGGCCATGGCTGTTGAATGCACGCTTGAACATGCTTCCGGGGCTACCTGTTGGGCATTGTGGGATGGGGAGAGAGTGTGTGTGCGATGAGAGAGGGTAAGGCAGGTTTGTCGCCCGACCAGCGGCGAGAGAACAAGTGGACGGACTCGGCAACCACAGGTGACTCAAGACTGTTCGGCTCACTGGCGACACTCTCTCTGTCTCTGGTTACGCGCCGGTCACGCCCACAGCGGTACAGCGGTACAGCGGTACAGCGGCCCCATGTGGCCCATGGCCCACACACAGGTGGTGTGCCGGCCAAAGCAACGCACACGTCAGAGCAAGGGCGCGGGGGGGCGGCGCGGCACCGTATCTTAATAATAACCCCCGTTCACCGCAGTCACGTGACGTAGAAGGAGGGGTTAAAGCATTACGTAAGTATGCCATATAGCAACGCAACCCCTGGACGGTCCTGGACGGATTAGAGCTGAAATTTCTAATCGGCGACCTGTTTTGTTTTTGTTTCCATTCCAGCACACCGCCCCTCGCACGCGCCACACGCGTGTAGGGTTGGCGCGAGGCTCACGGCTCGTCCGTGTCACCGTTGGGTGCGCTGTAACCACCACAACATCACACGTCACAGATCACAGATCACAACATTACTCATCTCCAGCCTCGTCCTTGCCGCGTCTTACACATAACACTGGCATTTGTTTCCCCTGTCCTCCCTCCCGCCCATTGATCATTACCCCGCCCATATCCCCACAGCACACACATTTACGACTAATGGGTGGTGGTTCGGCGCTTTGAACAGCCCGACCACCTCTGCCCCTGCTTCCATATTTGGTGTACACCCCACTGTCACCCGTCACCACCACCACCATCATCACCATCACCACTGCTCTGCCTGTGACGACAACAAGATGTTCGACGCACCGGTCTCCGGTGCCAGGCAAGACCTGTCGTTTGCAGACCAGCAAGAACTGTTGGCCTTCATCGAAAAGCGCAACTGGTTCGAAGCCAAGCTGGAGGTGAGCTTTTTATTGCCTTGTCATTTGCTGACAGCCGTCCAGTCTCTCAAGGCCCTCGCACCTGTGTATCCCTTTGTGCATCCGCAGCTCGTGCGCGATCCACAAAGTACCGCAGGTTATTCTCGCGCAGGCGCCGACAACTCGCCGTGGCGTTTACCTGACCGTGCCCAGCTGGCTGCTTGGGTTAGCGAGCGTAATGCTCTTGAGGACGAGGTCGATCGTTTCGACGACGGTGACATGGAACGCATGAAGGAGAAGACGCGACGTAAGTCATTGTCGCCCCGGTACATGCTGATACCTGACAGAGATGACGCGTGTACCTCTTACCCAGCCGTCCACCGATCTCGTCGAGGTCACTCTAGACCTTATTTTGCTCATTGACCAACTCCTCATGGTGCTCCGACAACGAGGTTCAGTTCTGGACCTTGCGTCTCTTCGTCTTCAGTGGGACGACCTTCGCTTTGAGGCCAGCCGCGAAGCCGAGAGTGTCAAATCCGAGATTGACCATGTCGTCGCGGAGGCCCAAGCGTGGATACCAGGACAGAACGGACCCGACCGTCATGACAAGCGCGGAGGTCTCAGGCACCATGCGTCTGTGTCACGTCGGTTGAATGCGTCGTCCAACAGCTCCTTGTCGGACGCCGCCGCCTCTGCCGCTACAACCCCGGTCACGCCCTCGCCATCGTTGAACAACTTGCCTCCCTCGCCCGGAAACGAAGCTTCGCCGCCCAGAAAAGGCTCGGCGTCCCCTTCCAAGGTCGTTGGACCAAAGTCAGCCCTACACCTATCCATTCTCCGTTCACAGCTCATCGGGCTTCAGACTCGCCACCGTAACTTCTCCTACACGTTGGTCAAGCGCAGCAGCGGTATCTTGGACCGGATGATCGATTCAGCTGGCCGACTCAAGGGTCTTGGAAGTACGGACGGTCCACACGAGGACAAGGAGGGAAGCGGCGGTGCTGTGCCTGAGGAGCTGATCGACATTCAAGAGTCGATTGAGAACCAAACGAGAGACATCGGACAACGTGTCATGTGGTGTGGTCAGTTTGAAGACCAGTGCCGCCAGGCACATCAGCATTTCATGGCCTCGACCCAGGCCCAGGCAGCCGCAGATGACGTGCTGGGCGAGATCGAAAAGGCCCTCGGCGAGCCGGCCTCCAGTACGCGTCATGCCACTCTGGCAAAGCTCTACAAGGACGCAACCGTGGCGCTTCCCCCAGCTGTCGATGCCACGTTTCCACATCCATCGCATCCCGACTATCCCTCCAAGGACGAACATAATGCTCTCATCCTCGATACGATCAAGGCGACACGCCAAGGAGCCCAAGCACGGCTGGATCTCGCTGGCCACGCGCTCGCTTTCTACGCCTCGTTGTTAAAGGCACGGGAAGCACTGCTTGCACAACAGAAACGTGTGCAGACTGTACGCAGACAGCTCGTTGAGGCAATGGATCGTTTGGAACATGGTACCGTCCACGCCCCTCGACCTTCCGTAGGCGCTGTCGCCGACCAGGGAGGCGAGTGCACCCACTGGCTGCAAAACATCCACGGGTGGTTGTCCGAAGGTGATGAAGTGGTCCGCTCAGCAACCGACATTCATCAATCGACCATGCTCTGTGTCATGCAGTACTGCAAGTCTCTCGTCAGTGCGCCAATGGCAGTCAAGCCACTGCTTCCAATCGATGGGCTTCCTGACGACCTGCGACACGTGGTCGCCGACGACGCTGGCGACCTCGTGGCACATGCCCAGCGATGTGCCGAGCTCACTCGCCTTACCCGCACCGATGCAGAGGTACTGCCCCTAGTGGTATGCATTCGGCAAGACTACCAGGACCTCACAGAAGATGTTGAGTCCTTGTCTGGTGACATCGTTCGCGCAGTTAATCAGGCTGCATGGTCGCCCCAGGCCCCCGAGTCGCAACACATCCATTTCGAGTACCAAATGGCAAAAATTAGCGATCGCGTTCAAGCCGCCAACGATGATCTTGAGCGGCTCAAGGATGTGGTTGGCTCCCAATCCCAGGCATTCACGCGCCTCACTGCCGATGCTTCCCACATCCGCGATGGTATCGCCGAGTCACAGCGTACTCTGGATGTACTTGCACTGGTCGTTGGGCAGGCCGAGACTGTCCGTACGGTCCAGTGCACAGCTCAGGGGTTTCTGGCATCTATAGACGCCATCCATCAAACCATGGCCGATGAGCAACAAGCCACGGCTGGCTTCATCACCCAACTCAAAAACGAAATCAACGAATGGAGCAGTGGGCTAGTTCGACAGGTCACTTTCATCTCTGAACAACCGCCCCTTCTGGGTTCTGGCCCACTAGACCGTGGAGAAGTGCCATTAACGCCGCCGCTCACGCCTGTGAACGACGCGTCTCCAGACACCTCTACGATGCCCGATTTTTCCACTCTCGATATCCGGGTGCGCAACGAGGTCAACCACCAATCGACCAGAGTGTCATCTGCTTTGGCTCACCTCGTTTCATCTGCAGAACACGCTGCTTTCCAGCGCTGGGCCAGACCGGTTATCGAAGCGACATCGGCTCTGTCTACGACTTCGGACCGTCTGGCAGCTGTTCTCTCTGATCTCAGGCACAGTGTTCTGAGTGCGAGGGCTGCAGAGGGCGAAGCCAGGCGAGATCTCGCAGTGGAGGTACAGCGCACAGGCAACGAGTCACTGGCTCAGCTTGTCGTTGGGACTCAGTCAATGATTGCTACTCTCAACAATGCCCTTGGCGCAGACGCATCTGGACGCATCGACATGCATCGCGCAGGTGACATATTTTCATCATCGGATGTAGCACGCGAAACCGCCTTGGCCCACATCAATGAGGCGGAAGAATGGAAAAAAGACTCCCGTCAACTCGTTATGGAAGCCGAAACGAAGCTCCAAGCCAACCAGGACGACATGGTTATACATGCCGGCGATACTACAATGGCCATCAAGGACTTGGACGAGCAGCTGGAGGCATTGGAGCTGGAGAACGTTGTTAACCCGTCACCTGTCGCTTTGCGTACAACACCAAAGCACCGCCGTCTGCCTAACTCGCGCATCGCCCAGAAACTGGCCTCTACGTTCTGCAGTATCAACCAGTCTGCCACAACAATAGCACAAGCAAAGCCAAAGTCACCCGAGGTCAACCGCTTCCTCAACAAGCTCAAAAACGCGGCTAAACTTGTACCAGAGCTCGATGGGCTAGCAGAGGTTTCGGAAGCATCGGCCGCGTGCGACAAGGCCTTCAGCCGCCTCCTCGACGCGGTGGATACACGGGTTGAAACTTCAGAAGCCGCTCAGGGGGAAGCTCAGGCGGCTGTCACGGCGTTCGAAAAGATCGCGGAAACTCGCATGTCTGATGCTCGTGTTGCAGCTGAACACAAGCGCGTCACCCATGCGTGGGCCGACCTCCGCAGTGTAGCCGAAAACGTCCCCCTGCCCAGCAATGCCAGCAACGCCTCAGTCACGGGAAACGTGGTGTCTGAAAACGTGGTCACGAAAAAGAAGCCGAGGGCACGCAAAATGTCCTCCGCCATGCCCGGCATGCGACCTACATCAATGGCACCACCTCCACCGCCAACATCAAATGTGTCTGAGCCTATTCGTTCGCGAGTCGTGTCGGACACGCCAACCAAGGGACGACTCCGCTCTCGAGCGTCTGTGGACTCCGTGCAAACGACACCGCGGACTCCTCGACCGCGCCTGAGTGCCCCTCCTGCGCCAATGTCGACTTCAAAGCCCCATGGCTCAAAACCTTTTACACCGACAGTGCCACAGCCGTTCCAGCTTTCCAGCTCATTCTCCAGTTCATCGCGGCTGTCGCGGTCCACGTCAGGTCCAGTGGACATGGTGACCCCAACCCGCAGTCGCCCCCGCCTCAGCGCGCCAGCGTATACCCCAACACTGGTTCGAAGCCCCAGCTTGCAAAGAGCCAGGACAGCGAGGAGTAAATTGGATGATGCGGTTGCCCAAGTTTTGGATACTTTGGATGTGGGTGACGTGACATGTGGTGGGTCTCGCTTACAATTTAGGTCGATGTCCCCATCGTTCCAGCCGGTCGTCAATCCCCAGATGAGTGGAAGGACGAGTCCGGCCGCTACTGGATTGGAACTGGTGGGCGAGCTCGCCTGTGCTTCTGCCGCATCTTGCGCTCGCGCACGGTCATGGTCCGCGTCGGCGGTGGTTGGGTCGAGCTATCCCGCTATCTGCTAGACCGGTTTGCCGACGCACTGGCTGAGGAACCTGCGCAGTCGTCCAAGTCACCAGAATGGAAGACTATGCCGGTCGCCATCACAAGTGCGACGTTGGCAGCTTCAGTTTCGCTTTCTGCCTCGGTCCGCTCTGACACTGGAGTCCCGCCGCGAACACCAGCCCGCCCACCACTCCCACCGACCTTGGAAGGTTCTCCACTGACCCTTTCCACGCCTGACCGCAACAAGGTTCTAGTGGCAAGTCCTGTCTCGGGTAATGGAAGTCCCCTCATTCCTGTTGTCATTCGCAAGGCCAGCGAGAGCCCCAGTATCCGCGAAAAAGAGCGCAAGCAGATTCAACGACGACCCAGCTTCCTCTACGAGGCCAGCGCCCGTCCTTGAGCTACCAGCGCCCTCCTTGAGCTACCGTACCCCATTGACATAGACTACATGTATTCATTGCCATGGCATCGATGTAATCACGCAGTGCAACCAACGGTGGAGGAAAGCAGAGGTGCATCGACGTGAATAATCATAAAACCTAGTTCTCTCCTGCCATGGACCAGGTGTAACAGGCGGCGACAGAGCGGTAAGGTCGCCAAGCATCGGTGAGCGTTTCCATCTCTGCGGGAAGAAGATAAACGCCGCCTCTAGGAAACAGTCAGCCTGGAGGGGAGGGTGGGAAACGTACTTGGCCTTTTTGCCAGCGAGCCGCGCCTTGAGTTCATTCAGACTCAGCCCTGGTGGCAAGGGGGCCGCTCGATGAGCACATATGTGATCCCAGCCCTCGGGAGTCGCAAGGATCGAGTCAGGCGCCTTCGGTGGGAGCATCGGATTGGTACTGGCACTCGGTGTAACAGGCGGCGGGCCAGGTGTCGAGGGGAAGTTGGACGGTGTTGCTGGCGGTTTTGAAGGGGTGAGGGTCGGAGGCGGTGTTGACGACCGGTTGACATCTGTCGTCTCAGTGCGCTGTGATGAGGACAGATCGATCTCGGTAGTCTGCGAGGCTTGTGATGGCAGAGGTGTAGCGGTGAGAGGAGTGGAGTTGGCAGTTCGTTTCTTGGGAGTACCCTTTGGCGACTTTGGCGTCTTCGGTGTCTTCGGTGTCGAAGGAGGCAGTTCGCCGTGTGCAGCGAGGACCCAACGCAGGAGGCCTTTCTGGACACCTAGGTCACCGACTGGAAGAATATCCTGCCGCCGCAAGGTGAAGATTAAAAGCATATCCACAGTCCATCGCCCAATTCCCCTCACAGCAATGAGAGCCTCGGCGATCTCCTCGTCGCTCCCGTTCAGCAAAAGATCATCAGTCAACCGTCCGGAGATAAAATGTTGCGCAAGTTCGATCACTGCTGATAAGGACAATGTTCCTTCGTTTAGGAGGACTTACAATACTCGGCCTTGCGCGTGCTGCACCCAACACCTTTGAGAGCCATTACATCCGCGTTGGCGACTTGCTCGCGTCTGGGGAATGGGCCGTCGCGCTGGCGTTCGCTGTCCACTTCACCACAAAAGTGTTCAACAAAGCGCCTGGTAATACTTTTCGCCGCCATCCATGACACTTGCTGCCCGATAATGCTTGTCACTAGGGTCCGGAAAGGGTCGATGTCTTCCGGATGTGGCTCCGTAGTAACAAACGGGCGAGCAGGGATTGACGCAAACAGCGGGCCGAAGCGTGCATCCACCGCAGTGAGGTGCGCCACGCACGCGGGGAGGGAGAAAGGTGGTGGGGGTGTGCGGGGTGCCCTTGGGACCGACGGTTCAGCCTTGACTTCGTTCTTTACGGTGCGTTTGGCCTTCTTGCGAGGTGGAGGGCAGACCGCTGCGTCGACCTCAACTGACGGGACGGCGATGGCAGACACGGTCGTGACGGATGCAGACGGCGTCACTAAGAGCGCAGAGGAGCGCGAGCGCGTAACGCGGGCTGGAAGAAAAGGCTTGGGAGGCATCGGGTGGTCTGGTGAGTAGAGAGCCAAGTGGTGCGAGTGGGGAAGAGCTTGATCATCAACGGGTGACGTTGGGTCGTGTATTGTTAAATCGGGAACGACAGACATTGCGGTCAATGTCGGTTGAGTCAGCTCTCAGGGCACGCGGAAGGATATCGCGGTACATTAATCGATTATTTGCCGATCAGCCGATTCCTGTTGTTTGTGGCACTCGTTATCCCACGAAACGACACCAGTGGCCAGTGGTTGCCTGAACCCCGCGCAGTGCGCAGTGGCCGCCCCACCCCGATGAGACGTGCGGTAATTACATACATTGTCAATGTAACCAAACCCATCCGGCCCATTGGGCTATGACTTGTTATCACACGGGCAGGATCAGTGCGCACCCACATTCATTCCTCAACCTCACTCCTGGAGGTCGTCCAGATGACTCGTTTCTCGTTGCTGAGTTGTTTTAATCGCTGAAGCCTCTGGAACCACGTAGTTTAGACACCCCGACGTGACACTTGACAAGTTGGACACCGGTATTTGTTGGGTTGCAACATGTGATATGGTAATACAGAAGACGATGCAACTTTGTTAAAGTCAAAGGGGACACTCAGCTCAGAATGCGTCGGAAAGATTTCCTCTCACTGGATCACTGTCCTTAATAAGAAAGCGTACGGAGATAGAGCAAACGTAACTGAAGAAAGGTGGGGAAGACGAAGGAGGGACCGATGTCGCAGGAATCCACCGCGCAGGATGCAGCTTGCGCCGCGAACGATGGAGCCTGAGGTCGCTTGTGCGAGGAAGGGTAGATTACTTCCTGCCAATGAGGGTATGTACAGTACATACAGGAAATTGGAAATTTGCAAAGAGAAAAAAAGAAGGAACGAAAAAATAGAAGAAGGGCCCTAGCGAAGAGCCTAGTCAAAGAGTACCGATCGTTCTTGCCAACACCTTGTCTTTGATAGGGTGGAAGGTTCATGTGTGTGAGCTATATTCCCCCTTCAAGCGGCCCAGAACTTATTTTGGACCAATATGCGAAATGCGACCCAGTCACCTGCAACAACACTGGGAAAACTGTTAGCTTCTCCACCCGAAGTATGAAAATCGACTGGAAAGGAAGATAAGACGAGGAGCTGCCAAACGTCCAAAGTAGACCGACCCCATTTTTTACACAGCGCGGATCTGGCGAATCTCTCCCATATCCCCTCCCCCGTCTCCCCCCGTTTAGCCCAAACAAAGAGTTGAACAGTGGCCTCCACCTTCGTCTGGGGATGGGAAACAAAACACGATTAGGCAAGGGTTCGACTACGAGAGGCACGCACGTTATCTACTGATGTGGTTGTCACCACTGGGGCAGAGAGACCAGTGGAGGTCGCTCACGGTAGACTGCGACTAGACATACTGCAGGGGTGGGATGCATTGCATTGCTACCTCCAGGGGTCCACCAGAGGCCAGAGGCATTGAAGAACCTTACCCGCAGCCTGACTTCTCTTTCTTCATGGCAAAGATGTTTCCGCAAATATGTTTCTCGCTACAACTGTCTCCGCATCCTCGCCATCACCTTCTCTACAATCCATGGGTCTGGCACTCATTGTGGGATTTTGCAAGAACGCTTTTCCGTGAGATTAATACCATTTATGACCCTCAACCGCCTGAGGGTGACGAAAATATGCCAGGCGTTCAGGAGCTCCAAAAACCAGTTGACTGCCTGGAGGAGCTATCCGCTAGTTGTTGTACACGGGTATTGAAAATCCTACACATATCTGTCTCACTTGGACGTTGCCCGCAACAAGCTTTCAACTGATGACAGGAAGGAACAAAAATAAGAAGAAGACAAGAACCATTGAGGAACGTCAGTGGCTCCCTTAGTTTTTAGTTGCTTTCAAACACGGGTGTACTGTACATACTGTACTCGATTTACACCATCATACGCACTCTAAGTGAGAACATATGTCTTGCGACGATAAAAGGACCACAAGATGCGGACGTGAGATGCCAGCTTGTGTGTCTGACGCTTTTGCTGCGCGGCCGCGCGCTCCAGAAGTGTCCACATGTCAGAATCTGGTGATTGTGGCACCTGACAGCGCCAACTTCAGTGGGCCTCATATTTTATTGTGTTTCCATCGACCGCCGTAACACAGCGCACAGCGTAAACCTGTCTAGTGTCCCTATCTTTGCTCTATACACCATTCGTGACACGACCCATGCTGATCAGTCGCAATGTCTGTTTCCGTGGACCAAACATTTCACGATAGATGATTGCAAGACATAACCACAAACCGTCGAGGCCATCAGAAGGTAAGGGAGCATAGGATGTATAGCGCCTGGCATGGCGTGGGGCGCTTCACAGCCTGTGGTCACAAGGTGGGGGTAACTCGAGGTACCATCGACCGCAGGTCCCCTCAGAGGGAGCTCACATACCAAGATCCTTTTACCAGGAACCATGGCTATGTGGCCATGTCAACGGACATGGACAGCGACAGAAATTATATTAAATGTATATATTTAGTGCAATTCCGACAAATCCTCACAATGATTAATTACCTATTCCACTGATCACTGAGATATCATTTCTCACAGGCGAATATTTAAAAGTTGTGCTGGCAGTACTCGGCTCTCTGTCTCAACAATTTCCCTTGCCATACTCAGAAGTTTTGAAAAAATGTGGCGACTTTCTATCACAGTTCAAACATCTGAATCTAGCCGCTGTATACCAGCAAGTCAATCTTATGAAGTTGTAGAATAATTTGTTTGACAAGTGAAAAAAAAAGAAACGCCAACGCCCCAGTGGGCAAATGCATTCACCACTCCTTTCACCATATATATACCATACGCTATATTCACATCATGGACAGTCGCTCTTCTGCTAATATTGCCATAAATAACCATTTCCATCATAATGGGTTAGTGCGTGCTGCAACAACAACACATTATCAATGCACACGGTGACATGGTCGCCTTAATCATTCTGGTACTGTGCTCAGATGCCAATTTGTGGTAGAGCCAGAATCTGGCGATTGTGGCGCCCTAAGACACAGCCAATTTAATTAGGCCTCCATTTTATTTTGCTTCCATCTATAATGACATACCTCTGTAGACGTGTCTAGTGTTGCTCTTATCGCTCTTTGCACCATTCTTGACAATTTGGCAGTTGAAAAAAAAAACCAAGCCCCTCCCTGTCTGATGGCTGTTCACTGGATCACTGGTAGCATTTGGGCAGTGTGTTTCGTTTGGTGGATCCATCACAATAATTTATATTATCGGTGTGCGCTATGTGTGGTCGAAGAAGTGTGAGGACACTAGACAAACAATATTTCTATATACAACAGGCTAACAGCAATGGCAGCCGGACTCTCTCGATGGGTTCAGTGTGCTGGTTACATTTCCCGCAAAGCTGAGGATCCAAGGTATCCCCAAAGACCAAGGGCATTCTTCCCGTGTCATCCTGCACTTTTGTTTTCTCGCCCGCTGACTACTTTATGTATTTTTCCCTACTGACTATTCATTCATATAGGTATTCTCACTGCTATGCAAGTCTCTACCTCTGTATTGATTCATAGTGATTACTCAATATGGATGGGTAATGTGGTTACAGGGCCAGCTCAATCCAGTGGCCTCCGCAAGCCCTAGAGACTTCCCTCCTCATCTGTAACGTGAAAGACTTCCTCGATATGCCTGACCGCGACAAAAAAGCTGCACAAGCCTCTGGAGCTCGAGGGCGCCGACGATTACAGCCAATGACACATCAGCCTTACTTCATCACATGTAGCAAATGGACTGGCTACCTCCATTGAAAGGATCACTCAGCCATCCGCAGAGATCCAACCACTACACCAAACATGGTATGTTGCCATGGGGCTCCCCCATCAACAGAGATGCCGGCATTGCTGGCCTCAGAGTCAGTCAATTGAACCCCCAAAAAAGAAACACTTTCCTACACGTCACACTTACCGTTCTTACATAGAGTGAAGTTGGTGTCACAATAATGCTCTGCAGTGTATTAGTTACATTGCTGAGCGGCACCGATTTAATGTCGCTGAACCAGTGCCCAGTAGAGCTCTCTAGGGACTCGTAGCTCCATTGTCATTGTAGTCCAGTTGGGGAATGCCACAATTAGTCACGGAATAATGTTCTCTGGTGGTATTGATCTGTTACTTTTCTGGATTGGTCGTACATAGAGGGAGATGTAGCTAGATCGTGTCCTCAGAACTCCACACTACCACCAAGTGAAGGACGCAGACTGATACCACAGTGCCATCCATAGTAGGAACGTGAGATTCCCCTACCCTCGGTCTCTTTGGATCTCTGAGTGCTAGCTACTCTCCTGAGGATGTTGGCAATGTTATTGGCAAAGGAGACATGCAGGGATGTTCACGAAATGCGCATTTTATGTCGATACACTTTGTTGGGCTGTACATGAGTTCGATAGGGAAGGTACGATCGATGACGACAATAGCAATCAGTGTGGGTGGGAAGTGATTAAAATAAGGTACCAACATGTTTCACTGGACATGCTTCACTGATGAACAGGTGTATGAAGTTCATTCCGGATGTGCAACTTCAATTGAGCTCACACAGTTTTACGAAAAGCTTTGAACTGTGTAGATCAGGACTCCATTATGGCAACCCCCAAAGACTGTCTGATTGTCTACCATCACCATGACGCATATTTTACATGCTGCTGGCTGCTGGAATGTTATCCTCCTTTATGACAGCACCAAACGCAAGACAGCAGCAACAGACCAGTTTATGTAGAAGCAAGCTGAGCTGGTAATAAGCTGGCATTCACTCGGCCACTGGCTACTGGCGACTGGGTATATTTGTAATTCCTTTGGATGAACCCTTGGCATGGAAAGTAGATATATCTTCACCGACTGTGGGAGTACGTTGTGGTAGTAATTTACTGTCACTACAAAGGTTATGGCCCCCTTTCCAGCAACCCAGTTGACTGACCATCACCACATGAAACACCTTAACATTATGGCATCAAGTTCCGGAACGTGAACCATAATTAATTACGTCAATCAAGAAAACGGCTGCCTGTGTCGGATTGGAATGAAAATCAATTCAGCGCACCCAATTTGAATTGTCAATAATACATACACATGCACAGTACTGGC